TATATCAGGCTACAGTACCTATGAGGCTGACTGGTTTACCACAGCTGGTGTTAGTGAGTCAGAGCTCTGCGAGGATACAGACACCCATCAGCAGCTCTTTACGGTAACACCACACTGTCTTCACCCTACCACACCCCAACAGCTGTGTCTGTCTGAGGAACACCACACTGTCTTCACCCTACCACACCCCAACAGCTGTGTCTGTCTGAGGAACACACTCAAGCTCAACTTTGTTTATTAGTCATATACACATGATATACAGTTGAAGTCGGAAGTTTACATACACCTTAGCCAAATACATTTAAACTTAGTTTTTCACAATTCCTGACATTTAATCCTAGTAAAAATTCCCTGTCTTAGGTCAGTTAGGATCACCACTTTATTTTAAGAATGTGAAATGTCAGAATAATAGTAGAGAGAATGATTTATTTCAGCTTTTATTAATTTCATTACATTCCCAGTGGGTCAGAAGTTTACATACACTCAATTAGTATTTGGTAGCATTGCCTTTAAATTGTTTAACTTGGGTCAAATGTTTCGGGTAACCTTCCACAAGCTTCCCACAATAAGTTGGGTGAATTTTGGCCCATTCCTCCTGATAGAGCTTGTGTAACTGAGTCAGGTTTGTAGGCCTCCTTGCTTGCACACGCTTTTTCAGTTCTGCCCACACATTTTCTATAGGATTGAGGTCAGGGCTTTGTGATGGCCACTCCAATACCTTGACTTTGTTGTCCTTAAGCCATTTTGCCACAACTTTGGAAGTGTGCTTGGGGTCATTGTCCATTTGGAAGACCCATTTGCGACCAAGCTTTAACTTCCTGACTGATGTCTTGAGATGTTGCTTCAATATATCCACATAATTTTCCTTCCTCATGATGCCATCTATTTTGTGAAGTACACCGGTCCCTCCTGCAGCGAAGCACACCCACAGCATGATGCTGCCACCCCCGCTCTTCACGGTTGGGATGGTGTTCTTCGGCTTGCAAGCATCCCCCTTTTTCCTCCAAACATAACGATGGTCATTATGGCCAAACAGTTCTATTTTTGTTTCATCAGACCAGAGGACATTTCTCCAAAAAGTACGATCTTTGTCCCCATGTGCAGTTGCAAACCGTTTTTTTTTTTTTATGGCGGTTTTGGAGCAGTGGCTTCTTCCTTGCTGAACGACCTTTCAGGTTATGTCGATATAGGACTCGTTTTACTGTGGATATAGATACTTTTGTACCTGTTTCCTCCAGCATCTTCACAAGGTCCTTTGCTGTTGTTCTAGGATTGATTGCACTTTTCGCACCAAAGTACGTTCATCTCTAGGAGACAGAACGCATCTCCTTCCTGAGTGGTATGACGGCTGCGTGGTCCCATGGTGTTTATACTTGTGTACTATTGTTTGTACAGATGAACGTGGTACCTTCAGGCATTTGGAAATTGCTCCCAAGGATGAACCGGACTTGTGGAGGTCAACAAAAAAAAATCCTGAGGTCTTGGCTGATTTCTTTTCATTTTCCCATGATGTTAAGCAAAGAGGCACTGAGTTTGAAGGTAGGCCTTGAAATACATCCACAGGTACACCTCCAATTGACACAAATGATGTCAATTAGCCTATCAGAAGCTTCTAAAGCCATGACATCATTTTCTGGAATTTTCCAAGCTGTTTAAAGGCACAGTCGACTTAGTGTATGTAAACTTTTGACCCATTGGAATTGAGATACAGTGAATTATAAGTGAAATAATCTGTCTGTAAACAATTGTTGGAAAAATTACTTGTGTCATGCACAAAGTAGATGTCCTAACCGACTTGCCAAAACTATAGTTTGTTAACAAGAAATTTGTGGAGTGGTTGAAAAACGACTCCAACCTGAGTCTGTGTAAACTTCCGACTTCAACTGTATCTGGAGTACACAGTGCAACAAAAATCATTACTTTCGACAGTGCAACAATTTTGAGGATGATGATGGTGGTGATGATGATGGTGGTAGTGATGATGGTGGTAGTGATGATGGTAGTGATGATGGTGGTGATGATGGTGGTAGTGATGATGATGATGATGATGGTGGTGGTGGTGGTGATGATGATGGTGATTATGGTCGTAGTATGAAAATGTATGCACTCACTAACTGTAAGTCGCTCTGGATAAGTGCGTCTGCTAAATGACTAAAATGTAAAAAAAATGTGATGATGATGATGGTGATGATTATGATGGTGGTGATGATGATGATGGTTGTAATGATGACGGTGATGATGATGATGGTGGTGATGGTGGTGATGGTGGTGATGATGGTGATTATGATGATGGTATTGATGGTGGTGATGATGATGATGGTGGTGATGATGATCATGGTTATAGTGGTGGTGGTGGTGATGATGATGATGGTGGTGATGATGATGATGGTGGTGATGATGATGATGATGATGGTGGTGATGATGATGATGATGGTGATGATGATGATGGTGGTGATGATGATGATGGTGGTGATGGTGGTGGTGATGATGATGGTGGTGATGATGATGATGGTGATGATGTGATGATGTGATGATGGTGATGATGATGATGGTGGTGATGATGATGATGATGGAAAATGTCAGATGTGGTTTTAAAAGTGGTCCATATGTCACAGTGAAGGAGTTGGCTCACCACATTTCAGTTGACTTTTTTCCAGTAAGAGGCCAGTTGCTTTCTTGCTGACCCCACCTAGCGCACCAATGAGGCAGTACACATACTGACACACCCACTCTCTCCCCTTTTCTAAGCTTATTTCTAAGAAATCCTGACTGAAAGTGAAAATGAGGATGATGTTATTTGCTATTTCTAAAACCATGCTTTCCGAGAATTCAGACCCATGAGACATTGTGTCAGCACGGTCATCCAGAGATGTGTGGGGATGGTGTGTTTGTGCGTCTGGCTCTGATTCTGATCCTAGTATGACCAAGTTTCCCAAGGACATTCACCGGTGGAAGTTGATTAAATAAACAGCACAGTTGAGGAGAAAATGTCAAAGTCAAGTACTTTAACATGCATCAAGGTATACTGGGAAATGAATATGCCACACAACAACAGTGCATTGAGAAATATCTGTTTTAATAACATTTCTGTCTGTGATCTGTGACGATATCGTACGCATGTCACACTACGTTCTAGTCCTACTTGCCTTTCTAACCTCAGTCGCTCCTTGTAGTCGATGAGTGTACGTTGTATAAACACTCTCTGATGACAAGAGGCCAATCTATCATTCCCAAAGCCCCATTCCCATTTCCGCTGCACTGACTGGGTCATTCAGATGGGATTCTTAGCACATTGTGGCTCCTTGTTCATTACATTAGTTTGAAACAGAGCACACATATTCCACAAAGGGGAATTCATGAAATCAGATAGCTCAATGCTAACTGTTCACCCACAGTTTGAAAGTTAGCCAACTTCTTAGTGATATGGAGTTGGTATGTGCTCATTAAGAGATATGGCATGTGACTGATGTCAGTGTTTCATATTGTATGTTTCTTTTCTGGACATAGTCATGGCCAGTATGTAAATTAATCCTGGTAAAACAGTGGTCCTACGTGGCAGTTTATGGTGTGAAATGTTACTGTCCTGAAGGTGGAAAATAAAAGTCAAAATGTGGCTTCTGTGTGGAAATAGGAAACTAATATTTAAATAAATAAAGTATTAACAGTACCAGTCAAAAGTTTGGACACACCTACTCATTCAAGGGTTTTTCTTTATTTTTACTATTTTCTACATTTAGAATACTATTTTCTACATTGTAGAATAATAGTGAAGACATCAAAACTATGAAATAACACATATGGAATCATGTAACCAAAAAAATGTGAGATTCTTCAAAGTAGCCACCCTTTGTCTTGATGACAGCTTTGCACACTCTTGGCATTCTCTCAACCGGTTTCATGAGGTAATCACCTGGAATGCATTTCAATTAACAGGTGTGCCTTCTTAAAAGTTAATTTGTGGAATTTCTTTCCTTCTTAATGCGTTTGAGCTAATCAGTTGTGTTGTGACAAGGTAAGGGGGGTATACAGAAGATAGCCCTATTTGGTAAAAGACCAATTCCATATTATGGCAAGAACAGCTCAAATAAGCAAAGAGAAACGACAGTCCATCATTACTTTAAGACATGAAGGTCAGTCAATACGGAAAATGTCAAGAACTTTGAACGTTTGTTCAAGTGCAGTCGCAAAAACCATCAAGCGCTATGATGAAACTGGTTCTCATGAGGACCACCACAGGAATGGAAGACCCAGAGTTACCTCTGCTGCAGAGGATAAGCTCATTAGAGTTACCAGCCTCAGCAATTGCAGCCCAAATAAATGCTTCACAGAGTTCAAGTAACAGACACATCTCAACATCAACTGTTCAGAGGGGACTGTGTGAATCAGGCCTTCATGGTTTAATTGCTGCAAAGAAACCACTACTAAAGGACACCAATAAGAAGAAGAGACCTGCTTGGGCCAAGAAACACGAGCATTGGACATTAGACCGGTGTGGGTGAACGGATGATCTCCGCATGTGTAGTTCCCACTGTACAGCATGGAGGAGGAGGTGTTATGGTGTGGGGGTGCTTGCTGGTGACACTGTCTGTGATTTATTTAGAATTCAAGGCACACTTAACCAGCATGGCTACCACAGCATTCTACAGCGATACGCCATTCCATCTGGTTTGGGCTTAGTGGGACTATCATTTGTTTTTCAACAGGACAATGACCCAACACACCTCCAGGCTGTGTAAGGGCTATTTTACCAAGAAGGAGAGTTATGGAGTGCTGCATCAGATGACCTGGCCTCCACAATCCCCTGACCTCAACCCAATTGAGATGGTTTGGGATGAGTCAGACCGCAGAGTGAAGGAAAAGCAGCCAACAAGTGCTCAGCATATGTGGGAACTCCTTCAAGACTGTTGGAAAAGCATTCCAGGTGAAGCTGGTTGAGAGAATGCCAAGAATGTGCAAAGCTGTCATCAAGGCAAAGGGTGGCTATTTGAAGAATCTCAAATATAAAATATATTTTGATTTGTTAAAAAAAATGTTGGTTACTACATGATTCCATATGTGTTATTTCATAGTTTTGATGTCTTCACTATTATTCCACAATGTAGAAAATAGTAAAAAATAAAGAAAAACCCTTGAATGAGTAGGTGTCCAAACTTTTGACTGGTAGTGTATATATCTTTTGTCACCTCATTTAGGGTATATTTTTTCTCCCCCAATCTGGAAGGTCAGAGGTCAATCAGATCGTGGCTCCTTTTCAGTATTGATTATCTAGTGTCTGACCAGATAACGGATCACAGTCATTGAACAGCTATCTAAGCAGACCACAGACATGCAGCATCTATCAAGATACACACAGGCGAGCACAGACAAACATGCATGTGAAAACACACACACACACACACAGGGAGGCAGATCATCACGGGAAATCATTCCGACTACGCCAAAGGTCATGTCTGATGCTTTGAGAGAAAACAAGTCATCAACTAGATGAACAACATAAGGTCTACACATTTATTTTTTAGATGAAGTACAATGTGCATGTGTGCAAGAGGTGTAGGGAGGGGTAGAATATTTAGGAGGGGTCAGTATAATAATAATAATATAATATGCCATTTAGCAGACGCTTTTATCCAAAGCGACTTACAGTCATGCGTGCATACATTTTTGTGTATGGGTGGTCCCGGGGATCGAACCCACTACCTTGGCGTTGCAAGCGCCGTGCTCTACCAGTTGAGCTACAGAGGACCATCACTGTGTACTTCTATCATAACACTGAAAAGTTATGATAGAATACATCTGCTTCTCACCATTTCAATTCTACACCAAGATAGACCTCTGACTGGCATAAAATGGCATACATTACAATTTAGGATTAGTTTACCCTCCTCAAATCCTAACCTGAACCATTCAGGATGGAAATGCAAAACTGACCGTATATCCGTTTTTTAGGGGCAACTTCGTCTTATTCCAGCGCTCACTCAAGCGAGGCGGCTCTTTGATGAGGTCACTGCTAGTCTGATAGATGAGCCCAGGGCAGGGGATTGGACAGTGGTTGAGGAGGTGAGGAGGTGAGGAGGACTATGGGAACCAGAGGGAGAAAGTTGGGCGACCATGTTGTGTGATGATGATCATGAGAGCGATTTATGTGATGGGTTAGGGTTAGGGTTAGTAGGTGGGTAGGCTACACTTGGCTGAGACAACAGACACCTAAATAAAATCCTCTCCTAATACAGCCTTTTCTTTTCACACCCCCATAATGTCAAAGAGAGGACGTGTTCATCTCTGCCATTGCTATAGCTGATGTCATTGAGGACATTCCTTTGTGCTGAATTTCTGAATAAGTTGCACTCTGATTGCAGTGTGGCACAGCTAACATAAGCTATCTGCTACTCTGAAACAGTCATGTACCAACAATTTCCTGTGAACTCAGCGTATAAACTCTGCAGATGAGTCACACACATACTGCAATAGCTGATGAGGCTGACTTCGAGCCCACTAACCAGTCATTTTCTATTGAAATGTGCACACAAATACTTCACTTGCACTAACACTTCAATGCACACACTCATCCCTTATTCACGCGCTTTCAAACACACACCACACACACACACACCACACACACACACACACACACACCAAACAGCAGTGGGGACAAACATTGGCAGTCTGCAGCAGACACACTGACTGTAGGAAACATGAGGTATATTGGGTCAGAGTGAGATCAGCCTGGCTATGAGAAATAACACAGACACATTATTACACAGTGGACCAGGTAATGTTTCAGTCCAATGACCCTGTAAGACCATGCCTCATAATGTCTGTGGTTTACACCCTGAACACTTTATACCTCTCTTTAATCAAAGAAGATCCCAATTGGCACAGAAGTCATTTCACAGTCTAATTTTGATTTATTTTGGTTGAGTTGTCAACTAATGTGAATTCAACTTGAAATCAACAAAACATTTCACCAGATCACTGGATTTAGGTTAAACGTTGGGTGAAAAAAAAGACAAAATTCCCTTACGTTGATGACTTTTTGCAAATCCAATAAGTTTTCCACGTTGATTCAACATCATCGCTTTTAATTTATTTGTTGAAATGACGTGGAAACAACATTGATTCAACCCGTTTTTGCCCAGTGGGATCTAACCGTAGGAAGAATATGTTCAGGAGATGCTTGACATGCCCTCTCTGATACATAGGATCATATCAAAACCTGGCGTTTTAATGATTCTCCTAAAAAAGACAAATAATGTCTCGTATGCATCTGGAGCTTCAAAACCATAAAAAATAAAAGTTTATTCTGCAGTTGAAATACAACAGGCACTTGACAACAGTCGTTAATCAGCTAATGAAAGGCTCGGAGTTACACAAGCAAGCACACTTTGGGAGTAGAAGCGGCCATAAATTCCTAGCTGTGACAGCCAACGAGGGCAAGGAGAGAGTGAGGGGGGGGAGGAGCTTGGTGCTTGGTACCAGGCACTCTCAGGCCAATGAGGGTTACGCATTGTACAGGGGCTATGGTGAAACACTCCACCGACCATTTACCCTTAGCGCCCTATTTTAAGATCCTTATCCTACTAAACATAATAAAAATGAACTCAGCTCGGTCTAAACTGTAACTGCTACGTGAAATATCTGACTGGCAGACTCTCCAGGAATTATGGTCTGTCCGGAAGTTCTGCAAACTCTCTCTCTCCATTTCATGATGTGAAATATTCCTGTAATCAAACAGGAATGACTTGTTATATGCAAACTGTGACCTATGTGCAGTTCATATCTCACTGCTATTAGATAAGTTAAAAAGCTATTTCTATGCCATATCAAAGTGTCCCAAATGGGCAACATAGAAGGAAATGGATTACAGCAAGCTGCTCTACAGGTACGAGAGGAAACAATGCTGGGTAAAGTTGAGACAGTTAACCGACCAAGACTTGGTATCCATGTCAGGATAGTATCTGTTTTATGAGACGGTGAAGAGGAAAAAAGAGACCACCATTGTTTGGGAGTGGAGGGTGCTTGGCTTTACTCTTAACCTGAAGATGTATGGCTTTACACCCCAATAGCTTGTAACCTGAGCCTGCTTTTAGGGGCAACTGCATCTCCAGCTACTCTTAACCCCCCCCCACCCCCCCACCCCACCCCACCCTCAATCACTCCAGGGGAAAGTGGCCTGCCACTGCTGCTGACAAAATCACCACATCCCACTTGATATACAGGCCCTGGTGCCATATCGCTGGGTCAGTGGCAGGGCTGTGTAAATGTGCTCCCCTCTGATGCTCACATTGTTTCCGGTGTCAACTCTGGGGGAAGTCATGGTGGTCTGAACAGGGAGGTAACTCAGCCAGATAACCTCCGTCCGAGGATCACCTCTACCACTGTAACTCTCAGCCAAGACATCCTGGGACTAGCCCTCCAGATGAGAGATTGATACCTGGATAAGAAGAGGAGAAAGGATAGCATGGACCATGGCAGTGGGTCTCGTTATCTTGTGAACCTGACCATACACTTTGAACCCTGTCTGTTCTTTTTGGAGCACTCAAACTGAGGTTATCCATTTCCAGCTGGTGCAGAAATCATTTAGCAAAAGAAACAGAATTATATGATTCCACTACCTGTTTCACACATTTAGTATCTCGGGAATCCTTATTGAAATCCTTCAATAAAACAGTGTTTATCAACGATATTGTATGACATTCTCAAAGAAACTGGTGGGGGGGGACAAAAACGAAATGGTTACATTGTATCATAATTACATAATTACATTATCAAACACTAATAAACATTACATTGTTTCCCAGTATGTTATAAATGTCATGTAGAGGTTTACCTGAGCATGTTTAGGCTACCTGAGCATTTTGTATAAAAAAATATGCGAACAGTCCAGTCCAACTGAATTATCACTACGGTCACTTTAACAGGATGACCCGGAAGTGCACCATGTTTGCCGGTAGTATGGCGTTTTCTTTTCCGGTGGCCTCAGTGGTAGTGCGAGCGTGGATTTGATCTAGGCTCACTAAAATAATTATAAAATGAGTGTCCCAGCATTTATCGACATAACCGAAGAGGACCAGGTACGATTGAAGTGTTTTAGCAGTAGTTTTATTTTATGGGCACACTCATGTCGATATGTAACGTTACGATAAAAAGGATGACATGCCAGATAACATGCTAACGTTAGCCATTTAATGAGTCAATGACTATGGTCAGTGCACTGGCTAGTTAGCCTAGCTAGCATGCTAATGTTACAGCTGGTTCCATTTTCATCTCCAGTAGCCAAAATGAATCTAAATATTCTCTTTGTAAACTGTATTAGCTATGTCCCCCGTGATTTGTATTCGCTTAATGCAACGTATTGCCAGCTGAGGCATTTGTTTTACACGTAACTAGGAGTGCGCGTTAGATAGCTAGCGAGCTAGTTGCAATCTACAACAACAATTTGTTTCACTGTTTCAAATCAAATTTTATTTGCCACATGCGCCGAATACAACAGGTGTAGACATTACAGTGAAATGCTTACTTACAAGCCCTTAACCGACAATGCAAAGTAAAACAAATTAAGAAAAGTGTTAAGCAAAAAACATAAACGCAAATAACTAAAGAGCAGCAGTAAAATAAAATAACAGTAGGGAGGCTATATATAGGGGGGTACCGGTGCAGAGTCAATGTGCGGGGGCACCGGCTAGTCGAGGTAATTGAGGTAATATGTACATGTGGGTACATTGTTTGCACCCAATGTAACGTTAGCTAGTTAACTAGCTAGCTGGTTAGAATAGTTTACATGCCTTGTATGAATACACGAGCTATCTGTAATGTATAGATTTACTGCCAGCTGTAAGGCTTGGAGAAGGAAAATACGTCATTGTGCAGCCTTAATCAAATGTACAATTTAAATATCTCAAGTATCAGCTGTTAAGTAGTGAATGTTTTGTTATTGGACTAATAAAGTGTCAACGCTGTGTCTGCAGTTTGTTTAATCTGGGGTGTATTCATTAGTCAGATTCCGTTGCAAAACGTTTTACAACGGAAACCGGTTACTCAAGGAACCAAACAGAAGGAAATGGGAAGGGACCCAATAGAAAACGTCGTTTTCGTAGCAAAACGTTTTACGTTTGGAGTGAACTGTTTCACAGACAAAACTGATTGCTACGGAATCCGACTAATGAATACACCCCTGTTCTCTTATTACGTGTTGTTGTTGACAGGCCTCCGAGCTCAGGGCCTACATAAAAGCCAAAGGAGCAGAGATCTCAGAGGAGAACTCGGAATGTGGTCTCCATGTGGACCTGGCTCAAATCATCGAGGCCTGTGACGTCTGCCTCAAGGACGACGATAAAGGTGAGTGACACCAGGGAAACTCTAACCTATAGCCACTGGCACTTCTAAAGGACTGCTCACATAGTTGACTTATCCATGTAGAGAATGCAAACATGCCCAAGGCATCTACAGATACACCTGTCTCTGTATGGTGTGTCAGCACACACATGAACTGTAAACTCTCCTCTTTCTCACTCTTGTCTTTCTGTCTGTCAGCCTCCTCCCCCTCCTCGTCTTTTTCCCTGAATTAATCTGCTGTTCCTCACTTGCTGTTTTTCTTTCTCTCTCTCTACCCATCCTGTCTTTTTCCTCATGGACCCCCACCTCTGTTTGTTTTTCTGTCTCCTCCTAAAAGTGGCTTGTATGAATGAGTCTTTAATCATGATGAATGGTATCATTGTGATTGATAGTTGTCTCTCTCTCTCTCTGTAGAAGTGGAGAGTGTGATGAACAGCATAGTGTCGCTGCTACTCATCCTGGAGGCGGAGAAACAGGAGGCCCTGATCGAGAGTCTTTGTGAGAAGCTGGTCAAGTCCCGAGAGGGAGAGAGGCCTTCCCTGAGGATGCAGCTGTAAGTCCACACACTCTTCTCTATCTCGTTCTCTACTAGTCTTTCCTGACCTGTGAAGTATGCAGCCATCCACTCTAGATGCCTGGATCACTAGGACGTAGTTCATGGAATCAGCAACCGAAGATTTGGGTTTGTTTATGCACTGTGGAAGAAGTGGGACCCTTGTAAACACTAACCGTAACCCATGTCTTAATGATAAATTCAAACTAACTTGTATGGTTTTGGTTGTGTAGGCTGAGTAACCTGTTCCATGGCATGGATGAGACAGCCCCAGTGAGGTACACAGTCTACTGCAACCTCATCAAGGTAGCAACCACCTGCAACGCAATCGCTTTCATCCCCACGGACCTCGACCAGGTACGCCCACCGTGCACACTCGCCATACACTGACACTCTCACCGTGCACACTCGCCATACACTGTCACTCTCACCGTGCACACTCGCCATACACTGTCACTCTCACCGTGCACACTCGCCATACACTGTCACTCTCACTGTGCACACTCTATACACTCTAACTGTGCACACTGTTCTCACCGATGTGCACATCCAATGCGCTCAGACCACACTTTTCCACTCACATGTAAGGGCTCTGTGCAGGAACAAGACATTGTAGAGGAAGGATGATTGATGTTTCCATGGTTCTGCTTGTGTGTTTGTGGTTCAGGTGCGTAAGTGGATCACAGACTGGAACCTGAACACAGAGAAGAAACACACACTGCTAAGGCTGGTGTACGAGGCCCTGGTCGAATGTAAGAAGAGGTAACTAACTACACACAGTCTGGTACCTGGTGGCGTCATCGCACACAGTCTGGTACCTGGTGGCGTCATCGCACACAGTCTGGTACCTGGTGGCGTCATCGCACACAGTCTGGTACCTGGTGGCGTCATCGCACACAATCTGGTACCTGGTGGCGTCATCGCACACAGTCTGGTACCTGGTGGCGTCATCGCACACAGTCTGGTACCTGGTGGCGTCATCGCACACAGTCTGGTACCTGGTGGCGTCCTCATTTTCCATATTTTTCTAAAAGTAATTCCTCATTACAATGGGATATGTGTTGTGTATCTGCAATGTATTTTTCTTGAGCTGGACCTTGTGTCACTGAGTGTGTGTGTTGCTGTTTGACCTTGTGTCACTGAGTGTGTCTGAGTGTGTGTATTGCTGTTTGTCCTTGTGTCACTGGGTGTGAGTGTGTGTATTGCTGTTTGTCCTTGTGTCACTGAGTGTGTGTGTGTTGCTGTTTGACCTTGTGTCACTGAGTGTGTGTGTGTTGCTGTTTGTCCTTGTGTCACTGAGTGTGTGTGTTTTCCTCTACAGCGATGCTGCAGCTAAGGTGATGGTGGAGCTGCTGGGGAGTTACACAGAGGACAACGCCTCACAAGCACGTGTTGATGCCCACAGGTACACACATACACACCTCTACCCTACTGCAACCCATCATAACTACAAGATCTGACATATGACTGGCTGTCTTTGCTGTCACTCACCCCTCTGTCGTCCCTCCCCCCAGATGCATTGTGCGAGCCCTGAAAGACCCCAACACCTTCCTGTTGGACCACCTCCTGGCCCTCAAACCTGTCCGCTTCCTAGAGGGAGAACTCATCCATGATGTGAGTCCTGAACCCCAGCTCAGGGAACAGCTCATCCTAATGTTAACAAGGCAGTAACATTTTAACGCTGTTGTTGGCACTACAGAGGAGGATTTAATAGGTTCATATTAATCGATTCATAACAATGATGCCACATTATTACCTGATAGTTTTAACAGTGACTACATAGCCTTCCACGTCTCTCTCTCTCTGTTCTCCCTCGTTCCCAGCTCCTGACCATCTTTGTGAGTGCAAAGCTAGCTGCCTACGTGAAGTTTTACCAGAGCAACAAAGACTTTATCGATTCCCTCGGTGAGTGAACTCAAGACTCGATGGGGCTACCTCGCGGCTAGTGACCTGACTGCAGAGATCAAATGCACTGGACACACACACACACCCTGCCTAGCCTAAATCGCTGACCTCTGTGAATACAGTGTTGGAGTGTGTGTTTGTTTGTGTGTGTCAGCAGTGTGTCTCTGTCCACACACACACACACTGCTGAGAACATAGTGGTCCAATTAACATGGTTGGTCCTCCCACACAGGGCAGGTGGGGTTGGCTCTCACTGCAGACATCGTGGTGTTTGTGTTAATATGCCTAGTCACTAGTTACACACTGCTGGACACTTAGCCAAGGGAACCTCCCTGAGTCAAGTGGGATTGAGTGTGTTTGTGTGTTCATACTCCACCACAGAATGATTATTTCTTGGAGTTTCCCTCCGATGTTGCCCTGAGAGTTTGAACCTTAGTGAGTTACATTCTTAATCACCCAGCCAACTGACAATTGACTGTTGATTTGTTTGTTTAGGTTTTCCTAATGTGTATTCAGTAATTGTAGTTAACGATCTCATGATTAATGGTACCTAAGAGTTGGTGACCTGCTATTGATTGATTATCTATTTAATTGTCATGTCTTGTTATTCCTGTGTTTTAATGAACTCTGTCCTCCTGTCCCCAGGTCTCAACCATGATGTTATTCCTGTCCCCAGGTGTCAATCATGACGTTATTCTTGTGTTTTAATAACTCTGTCCCCAGGTCTCAACCATGATGTTATTCCTGTCCCCAGGTGTCAACCATGATGTTATTCCTGTGTTTTAATAACTCTGTCCTCCTGTCCCCAGGTCTCAACCATGATGTTATTCCTGTCCCCAGGTGTCAAGCATGATGTTATTCCTGTCCCCAGGTCTCAACCATGATGTTATTCCTGTCCCCAGGTGTCAAGCATGATGTTATTCCTGTGTTTTAATAACTCTGTCCTCCTGTCCCCAGGTCTCAACCATGAGCAGAACATGGCTAAGATGCGTCTGCTGACGTTCATGGGCATGGCGGTGGAGTTTAAAGAGATCTCCTTTGACACCATGCAGCAGGAGCTGCAGATAGAAGAAGACCAAGTAGAAGCCTTCGTCATCGACGGTACCAACACCGCCTCAGATCCAATCTGACACACACACACACACTATCTCTGTAATACTATACTCCCCTCTGACAGCTCTGTAATTCCCCTCTTCCTATCTCTTCTTTTGTCTGTAGCCGTTCGGACTAAGATGGTGTACTGCAAAATTGACCAGACACAGCGAAAAGTTGTTGTGAGGTAAGCCAGAACAGTCTTTTTTTATTTTTTTTACGTGGCATTGTAATGAAGTGTGTTCTGCGATGTTAGCGGCTGCGTTTGGCAGGCTAAAGCTGCGTCGTGTTCATTTAAGGCGCAATGTAGAAAAACATTTTTGCAACAGGAAACTAGTAGTCCCTCCCCTTTTTCAGTCCTTTTTCTTCCGTTTGGTGTCGGATGAATACGACCCTGTACTAGAGACAGTCTCTTTACTGTGTAGCAATCAGGTCAAGGTTTCTGAGAACCTTCCTTCAGAGCTCCCAATTATACAAACATACAGTTTGTCTTTGTTCTTGTGTTGCTGTACAGAAATACTTTTTTTCACCTGTGGATACTTATTTTTTGCCAGTTGAGTATAAATGCTATTGTTGATAGGTTTCCGTAAAGGAAATCTAGACATCTCTTTTTATTCTCTGCTACAAAGCAGGTTCCGTTTGACTCTGATCTGATTGGTGCTTACGTTTGGGGTATGTTCTATGTAGACCTATTAATCATAGGGTTTGGTTGTCTGTATGATAAGAGGAAAATGTCTCCCCTCGTGGCACTTCAGACGTATTTGGCACTACTTTGTCGGAGGGAGACTCAAAGCTCTGAGATTTCCAATGATACCTTTCAGGGTTGCCAGGTATGGCATTACGCTCCCCTTTCCCTGACTGTGTGTCTCCATCTCTGCCCCCATCAGCCACAGCACACACCGCACCTTCGGCAAGCAGCAGTGGCAGCAGCTCTACGACAGTCTCAGCTCCTGGAAGGGCAATCTGGCAACCGTGAAGACCAGCCTCCAGACCCTGTCCCCCTCTGCCTAAGATCTCCATCTCCAAAACCCTCTTTAAAATACTTCCCTCTATTATCGAACTCTGGTTGAATCTTCTGTCACCATTTTTATATTCACCCAATAAAAGACTAATTGAGATCTTCCATGGTTGTATTGCTTGTATTAATACCAGTTGTAAATCGTGTCTAGCTGTTTACAGGGGTAAGTGGTAGCGCAGAAGTTTCAGCATCACATGCTAACATCAGCTGTGACCGTGTTGTCCAGAGAAGCTGCCGTCTGTTGTGTTAATGTTGGCTCTTCACCTGGCGACCCGGAGCATCTGGCTCTAGTTAGACCCGGAGTGGCAATGTGAGATTCTGGCTCTAGTTAGACCCGGAGTGGCAATGTGAGATTCTGGCTCTAGTTAGACCCGGAGTGGCAATGTGAGATGGAGTGTGACTGGGGGCCTGTTACTGAGGGTGACATGGATCTCCTGATTAAGAACTTTATAGACCCTACTGTTATGAGCGCTCTCAACCTGACTCCTCAGCTGATGTCCGAGCAGGGTTCATTTCAGCGCTAGCGTTTAAGACTTTGGGTGAATGGTCTTACCTATTTTCCCTGGACTCCAACCCCATTCGATGCGTTGAACGGATGTGGGTGGAGCTATGTCTTCATAAGAGTGCTAATAAATAAAAAACCTAATAAAAGCTCTGACGAAGGACTTGAGGTCGATACGTAAAGCTTATTAAAGAGCAGGGATACTATCAAGAGCAGTGATACTATCAAGAGCAGTGTGCAGGTTTCTTCTATTTTCTCAATGGTCTCCCACCTCTGATACAAAGCAGACGAGGCCACCTTTGAATTTAAATGATTTCTCTCAACATTGAACAACATTTACTGTGATATTTGCGGTATGACGTGCCTTCTCTTTATCTGTGGCACTTCCACAGAAGACTAGCGACTGGCGTTGACCACATTCCATGCACTACCCTGGTCCATCTTACTTCATGCAAAATGTCAACAGGAAACGTTAAACACTTCAACAGCCCTGGACACTGTTGGAGAATTCTGAATGATAAAAGAGAAAATGTCCACAAAATACACTAATGAGCTGACCAGAATGGAATTCCACTCCCTCCTAATGCTGTAAGAGGACAAATGATTGGCTGTTACACTCTGTGTTAAAATGTCATCTCTAGCAGGATTCCAGAGCATTAGGTTATGAACTGTGCTGATGTATGTGTTGGATCAGGCATTAGATGTAAAAGGGTTCTCTCCAAGTTCTCTCCCTCAGGGACTGATGAAATGTAGTTGATGAAACACAGAAGTAGTGTCAAGTCAACTTCTTGCTAAAACACCACTGCTGTCATACTTTTGACAACAAATTGCAACATAACGTGCCTTTACATTGTAAGGAACTTTAGGGACTTTTTCAAAAATATGTAACATCCGTGCACATTTCATTTAGACAGCAGAAATGCAACGGTTATTTGTCAATCAAAACAAAGTTTATTCTGAAGAGAGCGTGAAGAAGGGAGCAACAGCATTTTTGCCAGTCTGCTGGGCAGAGCCAGAACCAACCGGCAACCTGTGTGTTAATGGTGATGTCACAGCTCTGGCCCAGCAGCGCCTGCAGAAGCTCAAGGCTCACTCCTATCCCAGAGTCCTCTGGGAGAAGCATCCCCTGGTCTTATCAGAGGGAGTAAATCACACAACACTTCCCCAGGAGCTCAACCTCATCATGGTCACCACCAGCAAGGTGGGCCACAGAGGAAGCAGATTTAGACTAATGTAGTGAGAGAGAGTTAGGTTTACTGAACACTGTCGAAGCCCCCATTAACCTGCCCCCAATCTCTCGCTGTCTGAGTCGGTCTCCATCTGTCTCTCTTTCTCTCTGTCTCTCCTGCTCTACCTCCGTTTCCCCCTCTCTTTCTCTCCCTCTCTCTGCTTTATGTGTGTATGTACTGACATGTATGTGTAACTGATAGATGAACACACACGCACACTACATGTTAATGTTTTAAATGTAACTTGTAAAGCCTTTTGTCTGTAGTGTATTTTTAGTTGTGTCGGACCCCACTAAGTCTAGCTGTTGCTAATGGGGATCCTAATCAAATCTAAAAGATCTCACATTTTGCTCTTTCTCTCCCTCTCTCTCTCTCTCTCTCTCTGTTTCCCTTTCTCTCTCTCTTTTCTCCTTTCTCTCTCTCTCTCTCTTTCTCTTTCTTGAACTCTGTTTCTCCTCTATCTTCTCTCACCTTGGTGTTTTCTCCCCTCTTTCTCACTCTCTGATTTGTCTCTCAGACCCTAAGTTACTGCTTCATGGATGGTGTGTCGTGAGATCTCCCAGTTGTAACTTTCACGTCATTCTCCAGTTGGTTTATTTGCTACATGTTTCATGACCCCTGTCTTATCACGGTTGGAAGCTGGTAGTTCCTCCACGCAGCTCAGTGCTAAAAGGCAAATGAGCTGATACTCCTATCGTAACCTGGATGGACCAGAAGATGTGTTGACCGCAGTAAGGCTGAGTCGGCCTGGCTGATCATTTGTTATGTATCATACGCCTCTGGCTACTCACCATAAAACAGCTTGAAGGTGAATTTGATATCCTGTGTGCTATGTGAAAGGTGTGTACTCCACTAAATATGAACAGTATGCATATGGACAGCAGTGACTGTTAGTGTTATACCGTTCATTATGCCTTAAAGACATAATGTGCTATGGATGTGCGTAAGAAGTCAGACTCTCAACAGATCATGCTGACTTGGAATATTCCCACCGCTGAGAATATTATCACTTTTCCAGAGCATGGTACTCAATCATCACAGCCTTGCCTCAGAGTGCATGTTTAAAGCCTTTCTGTAATATCATCTAGCGTCACACACTAGATAAAGTCAGGAATTTCACTTTTGCATCAGCCTTTCATTCTCTGTATGAACATTCCTCAGAGCAAATCTAAAGCCCTGACAGTGTCCAGACACACAGCAGAGCACAGGACAGGAGAAGACATCCTATTAACTTTCAATTAGCACCATTTCTCTCTTTATGTATGTCTCTCTGTCTCTACATATCACTACCATATCACTACTTTACATAAATAGTGGCCTAGCACTCGTGATGGAGATAAACCTATTTACACAGAGTGGACAAGACAAACACCAGTGTAATGATACTGACAGGAGTGTTGACCAGGCAGGAGCAGGCTATTTGCTCTGATAACACTAACACGTTACATCAGCCTTAGCAGAAGCCTGAGTTGACACAGGATGTTTTGTTGACGTTTGTGATACGTTTGCAGCGTGTCTTGGGGGTTTGTGATACGTTTGCAGTGTGTCTTGGGGGTTGCTGTTGTGACAGGGATATTTTATGACAGAGTGTGGCACGGGGAAGGTTGTCTTATCAAGAACGCACACCTCTGCTCTTCTGTGGGCTGAGAGGAACATGAACCTGTGGGTTTTAACCTGGCTAATTCATACACTCACATTTAAAGCGCAGAGGCAGCATTGTGGACACCACAAAGAGCACTCTGGATAAAATGGTTAGCCATTTGGGGTGAAATATTACATGCAAGGGTTTTTTGCCCCATTAAAATGTTGTTAAACTCGGCTATCCTAGTCAATCCCAGTAAATCTCAGGGATAAAGGTACATTTGCTGAGACAGATCACGCGGCAGGCAAATTAGGAATCCAGGCCATGAAGTCATGGTCTGCAAAAAGGAACAGGTCTTGTGGAAAACTGGTACACATCCATTAGATTCAGATGGTACATATTTCTCTCTCCACAAAATGTCATACAATGTTTAGTACCATATATGCCTCATTAATCTCCAGTTGAATGACCTCTGACCTCTCTTAGATATGGACTTAATATATTTATATATATATATATATATATATATATATATATATATTTCAACAAAAGTAAATTGAGAGTGGAAACGAAGACTTACAGTAGAATGTGATTTTGTGTTTTGGCGTGATATTGCATGGTATTGTTAGCCATTATGACATCCGTTAGTTCCCATACTTCCCTGATTGTGAAGTGCCTGTTTCGACAGTGGAGCGTGAGTTGGCAAACCTCTTTCAATTTATAACATGTTTGTTTATTTGTTCTAAGCTAAATGTAAAGTAAACGTTTTTAAAGGCTCTGGAAAGTCTACTACTCTACTTGATTCACTATTGTGCCGCTTCTCTCTTGTTTAGTGGTTTCAAGTGCCACCAAGTGTTCACACTGCACTGTAGATCAGTGTATCCAGGTGAAAAGCTTGATTAGTCAGGTCTGTACAGGTAGGTAACTACTACAGAACAGGAGGTGAGTTCACAGTTGTTGGGAGTAAACAGAAACTTCGCGCTTCCTGGAATATTTTACTTTTATCGATTTGACGAATTATAATATTTTGTCATGCGGTGTTGTTGACTATTGATGATAAGTGTTCTGAGTGTTTTTATAAGGAAATATCATATCAAACACAGCTGTTATCGGCGAACGTTCAAGGTAGGTGGTTTCATTTCAGTTTCACCTGTCAACAATCACTGTCATTTATACCTGCTCAGTAACATTCATTTCGTGGAGTAGCCTGTTTTTTTCCTGGATTTGACACACTCTTCCCGGATTTTACACACGTTTTAAAGTTAAAGGTGCGCTTTGCAGGAATCGCTCTGCCATTTGCTGGTTGCTAAAATTCTAATAGTTCGCCAAGTATAATGTGGAGAATCATTGTACCATCGAAACCGCTGTGAAATATCATTTCCATAACCACAAATATTGTATTTTCAGCTGTTTGAAGCTGGTGTACAAAACCGCAAGCAAAAGAGGCAAAAACCGACATTTAAGAATGGGAAGCAAATAAATAAAGCACATAATATAGATCTAGAGCTTCTTAGACTTGCTTTCAATGAGAATTACAGATCTATAATTCATACTTCTATGTGCATTTGGTCGGGTCGCCCAAGGAGTGACATTTCAGTTTGAACAATTTAAGGTGTAAAATTAAACCGCACATTTTAAGAAAAAAATTACTAAGCTATCAACAGATAAACTGTATAGGCTTCTGAACAGCTTTTTGATAAAAAACTGGGTGTGTTTTGTTGTCACTCACTTGTGAAATGCACGTTATAATCTGTATAACCTATGCTCAACTCATTATCCGCAGGTGAATGGCGATGCTTTTGCATTTATTCATACTGTATCAACTGCTTCCCTGTGGAAACTTTGCTTGTATGAGAAAGTTATTACACACCACAGGGACGGAGGACCAGTCAAAAGAAGGTGAGACATGAGTTTACAAACATGTCTAAAAATATAATTTTGTTATATTCCTAAATTATAGTATTAAAGTATTGTTTGCATAATTTTGTTCCACTCATGTGATTGGGTCCCCTAGTTTTCCTGGAAGAGGAGCAGGCAAATGCATTCTTAGGACGCCATCTATTGGCCAACCGATTTGACTTTGAGCTCTTCACTCCTGGGAATTTGGAGAGGGAGTGCTTTGAAGAAGTCTGCAACTATGAGGAAGCACGAGAGGTCTTTGAAAATGTCCCTCAGACAGTAAGTGATGCTGAGATAAAGTGTTCAGCCAGAGTTTGTGTGGTAGGCCTAGTCACATGACCACACAACAACCTGATGTTGTCTTTGTTACTTTGCAGGATGACTTCTGGAAAAAGTACAAAGAGGGTAAGAGAAGTATAACTACATGTATGTCACAGGTCAACTATTTGCCATTGTACAACTACTAATCGCACAGGCTTTTCCTACTGCACTGATGGGTACAGAGAGGTGAAAGACTCCCTCAAGCAGGAGGACAAAATGCTAAACCTAATGCAGTCTATAGCCCAGGGGTGCAACTGAAGCCCTCAAGTTCTGCAGTCCAGTTTATTTTCTCCTTGACAGGTTTATTAGTCCATAAATGTTACAGGATGGCTGGAGAGTCCACAAACCTGGTTACTCTGGTAGAAATTAGTCTAGTTAAAAAAGGAGAAAAAGCACCATACACTGTGACTCTCTCAAGGAGAGTTGGCAGCATATTTAGGAATCTTGCAGTGTGTCATATGTGCAAAAATACTTACATTGGTTATTTTTGTGTGATCCCACAGATTACGACTCGCGGCCATCGCGGCTGGATGTGACTGCCCTGCTTGTGGGTCTGATCGTGGCAGGGGTGGCCATCGTCATCGTCGGCCTGTTGGTCTGGTACTTCTGCAAGGGGAGTTGTAAGGATAACCTCTCACGTGCAGGGTGAGTTAGATGTGGGCCATTTTGTTGACTGAATGACAGTGGTCACTGGATCAATAGTTTGAATTAAATCAAATCACATTTTATTTGTCACATGCGCCAAATACAACAGGTGTAGACCTTACTGTGAAATGCTTACTTACAAGCCCTTAACCAACAATGCAGTTTTAAGAAAAATAAGAGTTGAGAAAATATTTACTAAATAAATTAAAGTAAAAAAATAAAAGAGTAACAATAAAATAACGAGGCTATTTACCGGTACCGATACCGAGTCAATGTGCGGGGGTATAGGTTAGTCAAGGTAATTTAGGTAATATGTACATATAGGTAGAGGTAAAGTGACTATGCATAGATAAAAACAGCGAGTAGCAGCAGCGTAAAAAGGGGAGGGGTCAATGCAAATAGTCCAGGGTAGCCATTTAATTAGCTGTTCAACAGTCTTATGACTTTGGGGTAGAAGCGGTTAAGAAGCCTTTTGGACCTAGACTTGGCGCTCCGGTACCGCTTGCCGTGTGGTAGCAGAGAGAACAGTCTATGACTAGGGTGGCTGGAGTCTTTGACAATTTTTAGGGCCTTCCTAAAAAATAGTAGATTGCATAGTCTGTAGTTTGTGTGGGTATTTGTGCAGGTGCTGTCTGTGTGCGGGGGGGGGGGGGGGGGGGGGTTGGTTGGTTATGTGTGTAAGCAGGTGCTGACGTGTGTGTGTGTGTGTGTGTGTGTGTGTGTGCACACATTCTTCAAAGGGATACTGCATCATTCCTGACTGTGTCTCTTCCAGCTCTGTCAGGGTGCGTCCAAGGCGCAGTAACGCCTCGCTGATCATGCGGAGACTGGATGAGGTCTCTCTGCAGCCCGTGCTCCTGCCCCCACCCCCCCTGGAGGAGATCGACCCCCCTGGCCTGCCCTCCTACGAGGACGCTATCGGCAAAACCGGAACGCACGACGCCCCCCCTCCTCCTTACCCTGGGTATACACACATACTCATGCATACACACACACAAGATTGTGCCAGCTGCTGGGGTTGCTGCGGAGAAGGAGGAGGTCAAAGGGGGGTGAGTGTAGCCGATGTAAAATGGCTACCTAGTTAGCTGTGCGCGCTACTAGCGTTGAATCGCTCTGCGACCTTGAACTGGTTGTTTCCTTTGCTCTGCAAGGGCCACTGCTTTTGTTGAGTGACAGGTAATGATGCTTTGTGGGTAACAGTTGTCGATGGGTTCAGTGTCCTCCCTGGTTCGAGCCCAGGTTGGGGGAAGGAGATTGACGCAACCAACACTGTCACACATACCCAAAAACTTGCTCCACCTATTTGAATTTAATTATAACTACAAAAATGTTCATACATTAAAATCTTTTTCAAAGCAATTTTTTAAAGATTTTATTTTGGTTTATAGACAATAGAGTTATTTCTAACCGTACCTTGCCTTGTTAGGTGAACAACATGTTTACATTCTTGTTTCTTTCCCACAGGTCTCAACCTGGAAGTATTCGACGATAGCACCTTTGACCTCGCTGGATGAATGTCTCCATATTGAGCATCATCAAATGCTACGAAAGAGGTTTAGATCTATCTACTTTACATGGTTGTACTCAACCATGCATGTTCAAGATGTGATTTTATTGGATTGTAATACCTTCTGATAATTGTAGATCTGTGTGACTGATTACCTCTTCCATTACCTGCAATGTTTAGCGTATTTATCTATTTGTACAAATGTTTAGCTATTTTTCTGCATGTGCCAAAATGGATTTCATTACTTTATTCCTCACTTACGTCAACTTTTGAGTTGGACCCGCTCTAACCCATAACCAGTGAGGTAATACTTGACATGATATATCTTAGTTTAACTGTAACCTGGCAACTGCTCTGCTGTTATGAACGGAAAATGAAGCATGAGAAACCGTATTGAGTCTACACACAATACTACTGTCGCCTTACACAATATGAGCATAGCGTTAGGATGGACGGAGAGAATTGATGCTTCCACATTCTTCTAAAAGTATTGAGACAGTGACACAATTTTTTGTGAGAAAGTTACAGATGCACAAATATCTAACCTTCCCTGTTATTGTAATGGTGAGAGGTTAGCATGTCTTGGGGGTATGATCTTTGTGCATCTGTAACTTTCTTACTCATCATTATTCACGATTCCTTCAGGATTATCCGTAATCATGGTAGCATCCACATTAATGTAGAAGTGTTTAGAAACATATTCTATTCTTATTTGCAATAAAAGTGACTCCCAAATGACACAATACATGATTTACCATTAATTTCTATTGGGCACAAAGTAATCTTAAACACAACCAAAACAAGCAGCAAATGTATCCAACACATTTGGAGTCACACGCTTGATGTATTCATTGAGTGCTATGAATATGGGACCAAATACTTAACTTTTTACTACTTTAATACACATATAAGTGAATTTATCCCAATACTTTTGGTCCCCTAAAATGGGGGGACCATGTACAAAAGGTGCTGGAATTTCTAAACGGTTAACCCGATATGGATGAAAATACCCTCAAATTAAAGCTGATAGTCTGCACTTTAACCTCCTAGTCGTTGTATAATTTCAAAACCAAAGTGCTGGAGTACATAGACAAAACAACTAAAATGTGTCACTGTCCCAATACTTTTGGAGCTCACTGTTTGTGTTGTATGTGGTCAAGTAGACTGTGTGAGTTTGATGACATCACACTCAGTGCTTGACTTGGACTGAAATACTGTATGTGCTGGTACTCATTTACCTGCACTGTTTATATATATATATGTGTGTGCAGGAACTCTGCAATACATTTGAGCTAATATTCTATAGGAGGTGCAGAAACTCAAGCAGTAGAACATTTGTGGTGCCAGTACTCAGTTCCTGTGATTTCCTCCCCAGGTCATGCACTGATCACACGCTATGCTATAATGAGTGTCCCAGGAAGTCTTTGCTCTTGTCTGAAGCTCCATTCATTCATGAAGAAGAAACCTATCCATGTTATTTAATGAAGTGTTTTTTTTAATTGTCATAACAGGGTGCTCTTTTTTTTAATAGGGCTTTGCAACCACAGGTCGGGATAATTAGCTATTTATTTCTGGACACTGATGAATAGTGGGCTGTTTCTTTCCTCCATACCCATCCATCTGTAAAATAGGATATTTAATTAACACTGCTCACATCTGAGCATGACTTCTGTAAGGATTAGGTGGTATAGTGACATGCGTGTTTTGTCTTTGGATTTTATATCTATGAATGATGCCAATGGTGAGGTTGACATCATGGGACAATGTACTGTATGTGTGCTGGTGATTGTGTACTGTAAGTCTATGAAACATTTTAACTGTCAGAGGATCATTTCATAAATTGACATTTTAATGATTGTCTTGTCTCGCTGAAGAATGTTTGAATGGTGATGTGTTAATGTTTACAACAAAATCACAAAGGCTATCATTATTTTGATCATTAAATTATGTCTGCAAATTATATCATGATGCATTACATAATTCGGTGATCGTGCAAAGGTAAAAAAAAAAAAAAAAAAGTCAGTGCAAAGGTCATTGTGTTAAATAATATGTGATCAGTGATATGACTGACCATAGATGCCATTTCAGACAGGTATAAAATGTTTCACAAATAAATATTGCTCCATTATTATACTGAAGGGAAATTATGAGAAAGAACTCTTCCAACTCAAGCAGGTTTGGCGGTGCATCATGGGAAATAAACCAACATGGGGACCTGATCCAAGTACCAAACCACCATGCAGTGCCTGCACAGTTTTTGATTAGGGAAAACGAACAATGATTATCATCAACACCTCATGCTAAAGAGAAGTGGTTAAAAAGTTTCAGGACTGTACAGCTGAGCTTGACGGCGCCTAGCAATCTATGGTCCGGGAGAATGTGATTGTTTTGTCCGGCCCCGCGCTCGTATGTGTGCCTACTGCTTCACAAAGCGCCATCCGGGAAGTGCATCACTCCCAGCCTTCGACGGATGATGGACAGGAATTACCCGAATTCCAGTTTCGCAGACCCGCTGGCCCCACCAGCACAGACCGTAGCCTGGGCCTATGAGCGGAGCACCGCAAGCATAAAGCCAAGGTAAATGAGATGAAGGAGAGGGCGGGTCACCTTCCACGGAAAATTCCGGTGATGGAAGGCCTAGCACAACAAACAGAAATGTGTGACGAGCTTTTAAAGTTAACGCGTCGTGTTATGGAACAATTGGGTCGAGGGCTTCACATGGGAATAGGAAGTTACGGATCACTCATTGAACATTGTTTTAGAAATGTTGGACACCCCTAAAATCTGTAGCACGCCATCAGCTACGTAGCTATTTGGCACTGTTGCACGTTAATTGCCAATATGCACAATGGTCTATCTGCATGCAAGACTGAAATCATGTCGAAACTTCAATCTATCGTTCGATCGCTTACAACGAACCATCTTGAAGAAGGAAAAAAGTCACCAGACAGATCCACTTCATCATACCGGTACCGGAACATTTGCATAGCTAGTTAGATAAGTTGTTGCGCGTAAGGTTGTCAAATCTGTTGAGGTGTTGAATTCGCTGATAAACTGTTGTCATTGACATAGTCTCCAATTTTAGGAAGTAGCCTGACTGTTTGCACTCTGACTGAAAGTGAAGTCACAGAAAGACTGGTGTTTTGTACAATCTGTTGACAGTTGTCCCAGACGTCAACGTTAGTGGTCAACTCTGGATGTTTATTTAAGAGCACGGCAGTCATTTGAGCGTTGAACAAAATGATGATTATGAAAGTCGTGCTTGTCACACACGTTTATTTGAGAGGCTCAGTGGGGCAGTAGTGTGTGGTTGATAATGTGTATTTTTTTGTCCACTCTCTATGTGGAGTTAACCTGAATTGCCTGTGAAAATATCTTGTTTTATAAATGGATAGCGCTGAGAATGTGGGACACCAGCTGCCCTAGTTATGGCATCTGCTGAGCACAGACAGATAGCGAGAGACAAAATAAAGTAAGTTAGTCAGTGTCATACCAGTTGATCAGACATGTGGATATTGAGATTCAGTCTTTAGCTAAACCCCAACTACCTGTTTTCTGACATTTAAGTGTAAACACATTTGACAGAATCATGTCTCTGATCTTGGCAGACTGGGTTCTTCAACTCATTTCCATCTGCATGAAGAGAGGAGCCCTCGTTAGTGGTGTCAGTGGGAATCTCTGTCGAAACATGAACTGTGGAGCCCCACACAGTGTCTCGGAGCAGACTGCCACCCTCCCTCCTCCACGTTCCACCTCCCCACCCCCAGGGTCAGAGGCGAGAGGGAGAAGTAAAGTGAGAGTGAGGGGCTGGTTAGAGACTAGTGGCTTCACAGGTTATGGAGAGAAACTGGGATTGACACAGTTAGGGGGGTGAGTGGGGTCTTGTTTTGACCTACTCACCAGCACATGTTTTTGGTTAGGGTAAGTTAAATCAGGGAAGGTAGCATATCAGACAAGTGGGTTTTAAAACAGTTTTTTTTTATGGTGAAGCTCTTTTTGCACTAGGCTATGTCATTACATTATTATGAAAGGAGGCTAGACTCAACATGCTTGAAGCCTGTTCCTGAGCTCTGTCTCCAACTGCTCATTGCCCCTGTGAGTGTTCTACCCTCCAGGAGAAGGACTTGGCCTGAGCTCTGTCTCCAACTGCTCATTGCCCCTGTGAGTGTTCTACCCTCCAGGAGAAGGACTTGGCCTGAGCTCTGTCTCCAACTGCTCATTGCCCCTGTGAGTGTTCTACCCTCCAGGAGAAGGACTTGGCCGGCGTCTGTCTTTAGAGAGAAACCAGCCTGTTACACAACTCTAATGGTGGTTTCGCTCTAAAAAAGAGACTATCCCACTCAGGGAGGTGGAGATCACCTCCTCCTCCTCTTCCCTGAGTGTGATAGTGTCTTCCTGACCTTTTCACTCTCTTGACTGTGTGAAACCACCAGCGTTTTGGTTGGTTCCTCCAAACTGATCAGTGAGAATCAGCGTTTTGGTTGGTTCCTCCAAACTGATCAGTGAGAATCAGCGTTTTGGTTGGTTCCTCCAAACTGTTCAGTGAGAATCAGCGTTTTGGTTGGTTCCTCCAAACTGATCAGTGAGAATCAGCGTTTTGGTTGGTTCCTCCAAACTGATTACAGTGAGAATCAGCGTTTTGGTTGGTTCCTCCAAACTGTTCAGTGAGAATCAGCGTTTTGGTTGGTTCCTCCAAACTGATCAGTGAGAATCCGTGTTTTGGTTGGTTCCTCCAAACTGATCAGTGAGAATCAGCGTTTTGGTTGGTTCCTCCAAACTGATCAGTGAGAATCCGTGTTTTGGTTGGTTCCTCCAAACTGATCAGTGAGAATCCGTGTTTTGGTTGGTTCCTCCAAACTGATCAGTGAGAATCAACTCAGGGCGTTGACCTTTGACTTGGGCCCTAGTTTGTGAGTAGCGCTAGCTTACCTCACCCTTTTACTGTAGATTAGTAGAGATCTGCTAGTGAAACAGAGGGACACAGAGAAGCAGATGAGATGGCTCCCTTCCAGCTGTGCGTTCCCCCCAGACAGCTGTTTGTCTCCTGGCTAGAACATCAGTCAGTCTGCTCTGTGTGTTCATCGCACCGAGACGTCTCGTATTATCTGAATAATAGGAAATGGGACATGTTCATCACATGGAAACAAAATGGAGCCGGACAGACTGACTCGTTCCGTTGTTGTTTTAGGGCTGTGATGATATCAGTATCACAATATTTTTTCAATAGCGAAAAAGAAAACACGAAGCAGATTAAACTCTTTGGTCCTTTAAAAACCTGCTGTATGTAAAATATTGTGTGCTATAGCTTGGAAAATAAATACATGTGACTCTGGATGACAACATAATGATGTTTGTTTCCAACATCAGGGCTGTTTTCCTAAAGGAGTTAAATCCGCTTCGTGTTTTGTTTCCTTGTCACGATACTAACGAGTATCACGATACTGGTATCGTACCGGCCCTAGTTGTTTTTACTACGTGTTTTGATGGAAAGTAGGAGTTAGCTACTAGCTAGCCTAAATTATCTTATAGTTTGTGTTTGTACAGGGCCTTTCATTCTGAAGTTCGTATACTGACAAGTCTGTTTTAATGCGCCAGTGAATTTTAAAGTACGGAGTTAAAGTTGAATTGGATGCAAATATAACCCAAGGTTCGTAAGGTAGTCTGTCCTTCAAAAAATGTTTATCACTCTCTGTTCTTCTTTCATATAGCCTAGCCTCAGCTTCCTGTTTGTGGGTTAGGCCTTTGTAGGTTTCAAGACTGAGGCCGACATAAAAATATCACACACCTCTCATTCATAACCCTGCTATGACTTGTACCAATCCATCTTGGTTTCCTCACCCTACCTGGGTTCCCCTGTACAGTGTACATTAATAATTCACCTCTGTGGCGATGCCAGTCTCTTTGTGTCACTCTGGGGGTTGTGGAAAGGTCATGAGGGAGCGCCAGCTGGTTGTCTAGCTACAGTGCCACTATCCATGACCGTGCAGGTTGATAGTGCTGCATGTTACCCTGTGGTGGCTAAGCGGTGAGCAGGGAACAACAAGTGTGTCTGCTCTCGTGTTGTGAGTAAAAGTGATCCCTGTTTAGGACAGCAGTCTTCATATGGACTCGTCTGACTGGGTTATGATCAATACTAGTGTTTCTATAAAAATAATCACCTGTTATGGTTGCATTCTGTCAACGTATATACTTTTATAATCTAACTCCTTTTCTAAAGCTAAAAAACTATCAGCTCTTATGTTACTGTCAATTGTAATATTATCAACAGGTGAGAGATTTGTATTTATCGGTTGGATGAGATATGTCGTGCGCCACATATTCAAGGGCCTCCATTGCGCCTGACACACTTTGGTAGGCTTGCATCATGGGCCTATAAATACCGTCTGGGTCTCTGTGTGACAGGGCAAGGTCCAGGGGACTGACAGGGGCACAGCGTGTTGTCGTGGTGGTGGTCACACAGTGTTGTTGATGTATGGAATAAGCTTGTCTGGTTTAGTGCCTCCGAGGCATGGGGAGGTTGGAACAGTAAATGTGAAAATTGTGTGTGTCCTTATGTGTGTGTGTTCCTTTCCGCAGTGCCAGTTATGGTGCCACACACCTGGAGTCAGAGCTCCTCCATCGGCAGACCTACGCATCCACCCAGCTGCCCACCTACACCACTACCCATCACCCTACAGGTAAGATGTTGCTTTAATAAAGGACTAAGAATTGGGACTTATTTAACTAAGCAACTGTAGAGGGCTGGCACTCACATTTTGTGTTGTGATTGTAATAAGACTATTAGGAGAATGTTACTTGGCAAGTCAGTTAAGAACAAATTCTTATTTACAATGACGGCCTACCCTGGCCTCACCCTCCCCTAACCCGGACGACGTTGGGCCAATTGTGCGCCGCCCTATGGGACTCCTGATCACGGCCGGTTGTGATACAGCCCGGGATCGAACCAGGGTCTGTAGTGACGCCTCTAGCACTGAGATGCAGTGCCTTCGACCGCTGCGCCACTCGGGAGTAACCGGTCATGTCTAGATGGAGACAGCTTTAGTCCAATTGACATCAAAAGTAGATGTTTTGTTGTTGTTGCATTTTAGCTAACCCTAACCCGTTTCCTAACCTTAACCTAATTATCCTAATCTGCTACGAAAATAAAATTTTGACCAAAGCTGTATCCCTTCTAGACAACCTCAGTAACCTCATGAAATTCTCAGTCTCTCTTCACCTCACCCATCTTCCACCTCTCCCAGGTCTGTCGGGGGGGTTTGACTCAGGCGCTAACACTACTGAGACCTCGGTCATGAACTTCCTGTCAACCATGGAGTCTAGAGCCCTGCAGCAGGCTGGTCCTGTCGGGGCCTCGCTGCTCCCCCCCTTTAGGACCACCACGTGGCAGACCGGTGAGGCCACACACACATATACAGTGGGGAAAAAATGTATTTAGTCAGCCACCAATTGTGCAAGTTCTCCCACTTAAAAAGATGAGAGGCCTGTCATTTTCATCATAGGTACACGTCAACTATGACAGACAAATTGAGGGAAAAAAATCCAGAAAATCACATTGTAGGATTTTTAATGAATTTATTTGCAAATTATGGTGGAAAATAAGTATTTGGTCACCTACAAACAAGCAAGATTTCTGGCTCTCACAGACCTGTAACTTCTTCTTTAAGAGGCTCCTCTGTCCTCCACTCGTTACCTGTATTAATGGCACCTGTTTGAACTTGTTATCAGTATAAAAGACACCTGTCCACAACCTCAAACAGTCACACTCCAAACTCCACTATGGCCAAGACCAAAGAGCTGTCAAAGGACACCAGAAACAAAATTGTAGACCTGCACCAGGCTGGGAAGACTGAATCTGCAATAGGTAAGCAGCTTGGTTTGAAGAAATCAACTGTGGGAGCAATTATTAGGAAATGGAAGACATACAAGACCACTGATGATCTCCCTCGATCTGGGGCTCCACGCAAGATCTCACCCCGTGGGGTGAATATGATCACAAGAACGGTGAGCAAAAATCCCAGAACCACACGGGGGGACCTAGTGAATGACTTGCAGAGAGCTGGGACCAAAGTAACAAAGCCTACCATCAGTAACACACTACGCCGCCAGGGACTCAAATCCTGCAGTGCCAGACGTGTCCCCCTGCTTAAGCCAGTACATGTCCAGGCCCGTCTGAAGTTTGCTAGAGTGCATTTGGATGATCCAGAAGAGGATTGGGAGAATGTCATATGGTCAGATGAAACCAAAATAGAACTTTTTGGTAAAAACTCAACTCGTCGTGTTTGGAGGACAAAGAATGCTGAGTTGCATCCAAAGAACACCATACCTACTGTGAAGCATGGGGGTGGAAACATCATGCTTTGGGGCTGTTTTTCTGCAAAGGGACCAGGACGACTGATCCGTGTAAAGGAAAGAATGAATGGGGCCATGTATCGTGAGATTTTGAGTGAAAACCTCCTTCCATCAGCAAGGGCATTGAAGATGAAACGTGGCTGAGTCTTTCAGCATGACAATGATCCCAAACACACCGCCCGGGCAACGAAGGAGTGGCTTCGTAAGAAGCATTTCAAGGTCCTGGAGTGGCCTAGCCAGTCTCCAGATCTCAACCCCATAGAAAATCTTTGGAGGGAGTTGAAAGTCCGTGTTGCCCAGCGACAGCCCCAAAACATCACTGCTCTAGAGGAGATCTGCATGGAGGAATGGGCCAAAATACCAGCAACAGTGTGTGAAAACCTTGTGAAGACTTACAGAAAACGTTTGACCTGTGTCATTGCCAACAAAGGGTATATAACAAAGTATTGAGAAACTTTTGTTATTGACCAAATACTTATTTTCCACCATAATTTGCAAATAAATTCATTAAAAATCCTACAATGTGATTTTCTTGAATTTTTTTCTCTCATTTTGTCTGTCATAGTTGACGTGTACCTATGATGATAATTACAGGCCTCTCTCATCTTTTTAAGTGGGAGAACTTGCACAATTGGTGGCTGACTAAATACTTTTTTCCCCCCACTGTATACACACACCAAATGGCCGCCGCTTTGCACACTCGGTTTTTGTGTGTTGTGAATTATTTGTTGTCGATGAATGAATTTTTCTGTGTGCTGTGCTTCATGAATTCCAAAGAAAATGACATTTTGAATTGAGGCACCATGCTGGTTTCAATTGGGACAAGAGGGCTGCATCCATTCCACTCAGTTCATATATTAGACAACGCTGGCCTTGTCTCTTTCTACCTCATGTTTTGTCACGTGTGAACTGTGTTACCTGCTTGTTTTTGTCTGTATCATTTGTATTTTGTACTTGCCTTTGCCCAAAGATTTATCTTTATTCATCTGTTTTTTATTTCTTAGGCGCTAACTCCTCCACAGAGCTGTTCCTCACTGGTGCCCTGCCTTCCAGCGCCACATTCCCCTACCCCGCCCCCCTCTCCTCTTATCAGCACCATGGTGCCTTCCCCTCACGGAGCTACACCACCACCCCCTCCCTGGCCCTCCAGGACCACGCCTTCAGCACCTCCACCAACGGCCTGCTCTCCCCCCACCACGACCCCCTGCTGCAGCTTAAACCCAGCCAGGCCACGCTACCTACCTCCCTGGCCTTCGACCGCCTCCCCGCCCCCTCCCTGGGCGCTGCCCTCCCTCCCCAGTCATCCACATATCGCTCAGCCCAGGAGTCGGCCCCCCACCTCCTGCAGCCCCAGTTTGGGCTACTCCCTTTGGCTACCCAGTCAGCCCCCCAGCCTTACGGGGTGCCCGTCTTCTCGGGCTCCATCGAGAGAGCACTTCAGCGGGAATGTAGTGTGATCAAGCACCACCAGAGGCCTTCTAGCAGCAGCCACGCTGTCTCGGAGCAGCTGCCTGGCTTGCAGCACTCCCTGCAGGGCTACCTAGGCTCAGGCAGCGGGGAGGGGGATGTCTCCTTCCAGCAGGACCCCTCACGGCAGACCCCAGTGCCCTGCAGCCCCTCCATTGGGACGGACTCCTCCCAGGGGGTCAACAGCGCGCAGCAGCCCAAGACGGGTGTGCAATCTCAGGCCTACCCCTCCTCCATCCCCTCCCCCTCTAGGTACCGCTCATCTTCCACGGGTGCCAAGACTAAAGACTGTTCTTCCAAACTTGCCCCGGATGGCGGACAGGGTCACCCCCACTCACAGGGGGGATCTCCAGAGAGCTACCCCTCCCCAGGGCAGGGGCCAGGACTGAAGCAGGGTTCGGTGATCGCCAGCCAGCAGACTCAGCCGTACACATCGGCCCCGCTGCCCAGTCTGCTGTCCACTCTCAGCCACTCTCAGAGTTACATCACCTCCCAGGTGTACTCCTCTTCCCCCTCAGACCAACTGCCTTCTCTCTACAACACCCTGCCCTCCTTCTCTGGTCATTCAGGCAACGTAGCGTCTGTCAGCCAGTCCCTGGTCTACTGCTCCAGCCCTGGGCAGGGCCAGGAGAATGAGGGCCAGTACGGAGCCCAGGTTCAGGGCCTGTGTCTGGGCAACCTCTCCCAGAGCTCCCCCTCCAGCCACTCTCAGGGTGCCCCTAACGTGAGCTACCTGTCTCAGTCCCAGGGGCAGGCTTCGGTCACTCAGTCTCAGAGCTACGCCGCAGGACAATCCCTCAGCGCCTCCTACCCCTCCGCCAGCGCCCAGAGGTTACCCACGTCAAACTCGGGCCAGGGCTACACCCCCTTCTCTTCAGCCCCTCATGCACAAGCCTTACAGAACAACTTCAGATCCTCAGTACAGGACCTAAAGCCAGCCTACTGCAAACTGAAACTGGAAGGAGAGATCCCCATTGAGGACCTCCAGGCTCTCCAGCAGGTCTCTTTAGAAACCTCCAGCCTGGGGGGCAGCGGCGACATGGCCGCCCACAACAACAACGTGGTCTACGTAGTCTCCAAAATGGATGACCGTTACAACACTCAGAGTGTGATCCGGAGCAACTCGCGCGCCGAAGACCAGCTCATGGGCCCAAAGACTACGACCAACGCCCAGCCCATGAGCGCTGAGGAGCTCAAACAGCACTCGCTCATGCTCAAAGGGCCCGAGCCACGGCAACAAAATCACCAGGCCCACACCCAGTCAGCCCAGAACCACACCCAGAACCAGTACATCAGGCTCCCCAACTCTCAGGTTCTACTGGAGTCTAACCGTGACCAGCAGATGGTCCTGATCCAGCAGCCTCTCATCCACTGTGGTCACAACCCTTCCAAGGTGCAGCCGACCCCAGGGTCAGGCCATGTCCCAGTCCAGTACCTTCACATGGAGGGAGATCATCTGATCAGCGTCAGCCTCAATGGCAGCCAGAGACAGCCTGGGGCAGTAGGACAGAACACCATCACAGACTCCTCCATACTGCACCTCTCTTCGCCAAAGGACACTTATAGCCAATCGACCAATCAGCAGCAGGACGCCAAGCACCATTTCGCCCTGAGCTCAATCTGCTTCCCAGAGTCCATGCTGCTGGCGGACGAGAGGAACATCCTGTCCAACGTGGACGACATCCTGGCCGCCACGGCCGCCGCCTGCGGTGTCACGCCGCAGGACTTTGTCAAAGCCACGTCCGCCGAGGGCGATATGTCCGACCCCAAGGGTCATTTCCAGACTGTGGACGCCAGACACCAGTCACCTAGTTTCTCCTCTTCATCTTCCCAGACCTCCATCATCACCAACACTAACTCCCATAACACCATGACACTCAATGGCACTCATATGACCTCAGACGGACACCAGTTTCCCAAAGGGGAGGGGCATCTGGGGCAACAGTACTCAATGTCACACTCGCACACCGCTGTAGTCAACCCCAGGCACGACATGGGCGCCGGAAGCCCGGAGACGGGTTTGCAACGGAAGCCCGGAGACGAGCAGAACAACAGTTCGCCCAAAGGACAGTCGGATCACCCTAGCAACAGGGCCGATGGCAACCCCAACGGAGGCCACTCTGAGAATGAGTACCACCTGGTTGGCCTGGGGTACGACCCCTCAGGGCACCTCAACAGAGGCAAGGCCAATAAGCAGAACCCCAAAGGGCCCAAAGTCATCAAGAGAGAAGACGGCCTTGACGAGTGTCCCTCTGACTGCTTCCCTAACCCCAAAAAGAGGGTCCGCTCCAAGGCTTCGGCCAAGCCACCCGTTCCAGAGGAAGAGAACATCCAACCAAGGAAAAAGACAGTCCAGGCCAAGAGGCAGAACTCCCGGGGCAGCGACCCCACCAGCTCCCCCTCCACCTCCACCTCGGAGCCGGTCTACGACAGCTACCAGCAGCAGGAGAGGATGAGGCAGAAGATCCGTGAGGTGGAGGAGCAACAGCCTGAGGTCAAGACAGGCTTCATCGGCTCCTTCCTGGACTTCCTCAAGTCAGGTCCCAAACAGCACTTCTCCTCGCCCCCCGTACGGACACCCAGTCGCTCCCGCAAGCCCTCGGCTTCGTCCAAGCGGCCCCTGTGCGCCATACCGCCTCTACCCCTGAAAATACAACCTCCATCAGCCCCATTGATAGGCCAGGAGGGCCATGGGGTTGGGGTCGGGGGGAGCTCTCAGCAGCAGCAGAAGTGTCTGGACGAAGAGCTCCAGAAGAACCTGGAGACACTGCCATCGTTCAGCTCGGATGAGGATGAGAGCAGCGCTGGAAAGAACCAGGCCCTCCAGAACAGCATCAGCTCAGCCCTGTCGGCCCTGGACGAGCCCTCCGACAGGACACACAAAGCGGGTAAACATGGACGGGCTGCCCTTACAAGCCCTTAGGATTCAGTCATCTGGTTTGTTAGTTATCAGTGTAGTGTGAGACAGCATTATGCCCTGAATGGAAACAATTTAAATAAAATGCTTAGTTTTTTATATCCAAAACTATTTTAATTATCAAGGAAAATATGGCTTATCACAAGTAGATACAATAACATCTAATACCCTAACCTCTCTCCCCTCTCTCCTCCCCTCTCTTCTCTCCCTCGAAAGACAACCGACTCTCCAGCTCTCTCCTGAAGCCAGACCAGGCTCCCAGCATGCCTCACTCATCCTCCAAAGCCCAGGAGCAGCAGAGGGCTGCGCCCAAGGAGTCCTCGGCAGCCGGTTCGTCGTCATCGGCGACTGGGTCGTCGGGGCAGGAGGGGGCGAAACCGGCGCCCCCAGGCCAGCTGGCCGTCCAGCTGACCAGCGTGGCCATAGAAGGACTGACGGACGAAGAGCTGTCGGACAGCGGGGGAGAGGGCATGTACCGCGAGAGGGACGAGTTTGTGGTCAAAAACGAGGACACAGGGAGCCTGAAGGTAGGAGGGAGGGGAGGGGATTTGTGTGAAAGCAGGCCTTGGCTGAGTTTCCATTTTTGTGGCCAGTCAGTCTTATACAGTTAGTCCAGATATCTAAAACATATTTGTGTCAGTCTCTGTGTGTGTTTGTTTGTTCTATTGATCCATGCTGAGACTTGTTCTGCTCGTGTGTGGTGTTTTGTGTAGGTGACATTGACATCCGGACAGGAACCCCCAGCCATCTGGAAGGTCCAGAAAGCTCTGCTTCAGAAGTTTGTCCCTGAGCTGAGGGACAGCAAGAGGGTGTTCTCAGCCACTAACAGTGTAAGAGCAGGCGTACATATGATTAGAGACACACGCATACACACACTACTCATCAACACACATACACACACTACTCATCAACACACACACACACACACACACACATGCACATACACACACTACTCATGAACACACACACACACACATATAGATGAGTTTGAATTGTGGTTTGAATTTATAACATGATTATGTAAGCAGAATAACATTTATCCACTCTGTTGTTTAGATCACTAAACTATTGTTTTGTGTATGCATCCTTTCTAGTATCTGGGCTACTTTGGCGATGCTAAGACCATGTACAGGAGGGTGTATGTCAAGTTCCTGGACACGGTCAACAAGAAGGAGTACGTCCGGGTCTGCAACCGCAAACCACGCTGCAAGCCCATGCACTCCTTGAGGTACTGATATTTGTTACAATACTTATTTTACCTGAATTCGTCACATGTTCGTGTTCATCAATCTAAATCTTGATTCATTCATTCATTCATTTCTAACTTCATTCTCTGTCCTCCAGAGGCTCCCAGGCGAAGGCACTGCTCGGTCTGAAGACCCCTCCCCGCTCAGTGAACTCTGACCCTCTAGCCACGCCCACATCACAGAAGCCCCAGTCCAAGCCTCGCCCCAAGCAGCCCAAGACCAAGGCAGAGCCCCCACCCAAGAAGAGGAGGAAGTGGAAGGAGGAGTACTCTCCGTCTCCCTCCGAGTCCTCTCCTGAGGATGAGGATGAGGCTGAAGATGATGGTGAGGGTTGAGGCTTTAGAGGGCCTTCATTTAGGCTCATTCCCATGGGCTTGATGGCTTGATGGAGCTCTGCAACTAAATCTCTCTCTGCCTCCCTCTGTTATGCACTGTTTTCTCTCTCTCATCCTTCCCCATTCCCTCTCCCTCCTTCCCACTCGGTTAATTCTCCTTTCTTTCTTTTCTTTCTTTCTTTCTTTCTTTCTTTCTTTCTTTCTTTCTTTCTTTCCCTTTCTGTTCTTTTCTTTCTTTCTTTCTTTCTTTCTTTCTTTCGTCTTCTTTCTTCTTCTTTCTTTCTTTCTTTCGTCTTTCTTTCTTTCTTTCTTTCTTTCTTTCTTTCTTTTCCAGTGCCGTTTTCCCCTCGGTTCCTCAACACCAGGACCATGAAGGAGACGTTTAAGAGCTTTGTGGAGCTGCTGATCAGTGTTGCCCTGGATGCAGACGTGATGAGCGCTCTGGAGAGGGAGAACGGTGGGTATACATCCAGGAGAGGGGGATGATTGGTACCCCTAGTGCAGGGGTTCCCAAACTGTTTTACTTACATTTACATTTACGTCATTTAGCAGACGCTCTTATCCAGAGCGACTTACAAATAGGTGCATTCACCTTATGGGGGGGCCCCCTTCCAGCAGGGGGGGCCCCACTTCCAGCATTGTGGAACATCCCCACATCTATTTCTATGGTCACAAGCACTGTTCATGACACAAACTGCTCACACAGGTATATTCACGTAGGAGTGATCAGGTTGGATATACCTGAGGAGAGAAGGGGAAGGGAGTGGGACAGTTGTTTGTAGGATTTAGGAAGCTGATCCCGTTGTTTCTGGGGTTCAGATGAGCTGCTGCTGCCCCACATGAAGAGAGTGGACGGGATGATCTGGGACAACAGGAGACGCCTGCTGCCCAGACTACGAGTGGGACAACTCTTTAAGGTTTGCGTTTTAGCATTCTCCTGAAAATAAATAAATATAGGCCTATGACTTCCTCAACACCCTTTTATTGAGTACCTCTCACACGTCTCTGTCCTCAGACGGCTCTGGACAGCTTCCCAGAGATCTCGGTTGTAACAGAGCTCAAGAAGGATGGAGAGACCCCAGCCTTTAAGGTGCGGCTCAGTGGGAAGGCCTACAACAGGAAGAACATGAAGCCTTCCAAGTCCCCCAGCAAACTGCCCCTGGTAAGATGCTCTATGTTCACACTGCTATTTACAGTGCAGGAAGGAGAATGATTTGAAGTCCAGGCCAGGGGGAAAGATGAAGCACTTCCTGGTTTTGTCCAAAAGAGGGCGTCCTGCACACAGTTTGTCTCTTGACGCAAAAATGGTGTTTATGAAAATCTAGTGTAATGAGCTCTCTGCTTGTGTTCTCTCTGTCTCTAGGAATACACAGTGGACCAGCAGAAACCCCAGTGGTTCTCCCTCTACCACTCTCTACAGCATTACAAGTACCACACATACCTCATGTGTAAGGACGAGGTGAGAGCACTCTACTGTGTGTGTGTGCATGGCCTAGGGTGACCACATGTCCCCGCATTCTGGCCCTTTGTCCCGCAACCAAAACAACTCCCTCCCACCAAGCTACACTGTCCCGCAAAATCATCCCGTTGTCCCACATTTGGGTATTTTAAATGTGGTTACCCTAGTGGGGGCATTAATGTGCACTGTGTGTCTGTGGTGGAATACTTCAGGGATGCTAAGAAGAAGACCATGTACAGGACTGTGTCTTTGGACAATACACCCTAGCCAGCTGTCTAGTTGGCCCACATTGCCCTCGGTCTAGACAATACCCCCTAGCCAGCTGTCTAGTTGGCCCACATTGCCCTCGGTCTAAACAATACCCCCTAGCCAGCTGTCTAGACAATACACCCTAGTCAGCTGTCTAGTTGGCCCACATTGCCCTCGGTCTAAACAATACCCCCTAGCCAGCTGTCTAGACAATACACCCTAGCCAGCTGTCTAGTTGACCCACATTGCCCTCGGGTCTAAACAATACCCCCTAGCCAGCTGTCTAGTTGACCCACATTGCCCTCGGTCTAAACAATACCCCCTAGCCAGCTGTCTAGTTGGCCCACATTGCCCTCGGTCTAAACAATACACCCTAGCCAGCTGTCTAGTTGGCCCACATTGCCCTCGGTCTAAACAATACCCCCTAGCCAGCTGTCTAGTTGGCCCACATTGCCCTCGGTCTAAACAATACCCCCTAGCCAGCTGTCTAGTTGGCCCACATTGCCCTCGGTCTAAACAATACCCCCTAGCCAGCTGTCTAGTTGGCCCACATTGCCCTCGGTCTAAACAATACCCCCTAGCCAGCTGTCTAGTTGGCCCACATTGCCCTCGGTCTAAACAATACACCCTAGCCAGCTGTCTAGACAATACACCCTAGTCAGCTGTCTAGTTGGCCCACATTGCCCTCGGTCTGAAACAATACCCCCTAGCCAGCTGTCTAGTTGGCCCACATTGCCCTCGGTCTAAACAATACCCCCTAGCCAGCTGTCTAGTTGACCCACATTGCCCTCGGTCTAAACAATACACCCTAGCCAGCTGTCTAGTTGGCCCACATTGCCCTCGGTCTAAACAATACCCCCTAGCCAGCTGTCTAGTTGGCCCACATTGCCCGCTCGGTCTAACCTCCAACATGTGATGTTTTGACTGCCGAACGGAGACGCCATATCAGCAATGACCACTGAGTGTGTCATGTTGAGATTAGAATAGTCTTGAACCTAGGTTATCTCTTCAGTAACAATCCCTCTGTATGTGTAATTGTTTGCGGCTTGTGCCTTCGTCAGGCCCTGACAGTGAGGGCCCTGACAGACTCACATGACTGCCTGGGCATGGATTAGTTGTATGACACTAACTCATGACAGGCATACAACTGTTGTGCTACCAGGGTTGTTTAGTTGGCAAGAAACGGAAGATAACGGCCCGAGGAGTGAGACTCCTGTTGCAGACGGGAGTCCAACAAGAAACACTGGTGTGGGTGACATGTGGGTTGTTTTCTGGTTGACGTGTGGGTTGTTTTCTGGTTGCTGTGTTGCAGATTGCATCTTTGCGGGTGCAGGAAGGGGACATGGGGCAGGAGGAGACGGTGCAGCTGTGCATGAGGAACGGAGCCTGGGTGGAGGGCCTGTTCGACCGCTTCGGAGAGCTCCTTAACCAGGTGCAGCAGGCTTGCCTATAGCACAGACTAAGAGGGGGAGAGAGATGGAGGGAGAGAGGCATGCATATAGCACAGACTAAGAGGGAGGGAGAGAGAGATGGAGGGAGAGAGGCCTGCCTATAGCACGAACAGAGAGATGGAGGGAGAGCAAGGCCTGCTTATAGCATGGACAGAGAGATGGAGGGAGAGAGGCCTGCTGCCTATAGCACAAGAAAGAGAGATGGAGAGAGAGGCCTGCCTATAGCATGGACTGAGAGATTGAGGGAGAGAGGCCTGCTTATAGCATGGACAGAGAGATGGCGGGAGAGAGGCCTGCTTATAGAACAGACAGAGAGATGGAGGGAGAGGCCTGCTTATAGCACAGACAGAGATGGAGGGAGAGATAGGCCTGCCTATAGCATGGAGGGAGAGAGAGGCCTGCCTATAGTATGGAGGGAGAGAGAGGCCTGCCTATAGCATGGAGGGAGAGAGAGGCCTGCCTATAGCATGGAGGGAGAGAGAGGCCTGCCTATAGCACAGACAGAGAGATGGAGGGAGAGAGACAGTGAAGGACAGAAAAAGCAGAGACAGAGATGGGGAGGGGTCTATAGTGAAGAGCGAGGGATGGAAAGAGATGTCTTCCTACAGCCCAGAGAGATGGAAAAAGAGGCCTGCCTATAGCCTGCTCAGACAAGAGAGAGGGAGAGGGAGGGGAGCTATAGCCAGCTGACAGAGAGCATCGACTTCCTGCCCTCCTGTTTTAAACTACTAACTGGATGACCAGAGGAAGCAGAGGTGTCTGGAGATCAGCGCTGTCACCATGATGAGAAGAGGAGGGTCCAGCATTTCAGCACCACCTGATTGGCTGGACGCTTCTGAAACCACAGAGTAGGAGGACAATCTGGGTTTTATAGTAAACAAATATATATCTAACTAGCCAACTGCTAGTGGACCTTTTCATAGACTTGTTTATTTTTCTTATGTAGTTTTGTATTTGTTTTGCAAATCATGAAAGATCGCAACCAATGAGCATGCACTAGATAGGCAGAGATTAGCATAGGAAATAGAGGACAGCCAATCAGAAAGCTGAGCCTTGACTACCTACAGCAAGCTTTTGGGTTCGATTCAATCGATAGCGCTGAAGATCAGCGATGTGGCGCAATTTAACGGTAAATACTGATTGAGCCGACATATGCAGCGTTTACCGTGAATGCAGTGTTTACCGTGAATGCAGTCTCTGCGAACGCGGGAACAAGGCTTTTCCATTTCTATCGCGCTGAGGTCTTCAGCACTATGGATTGAATCAAGTCCTTAGTCAGATATTTGATGAGTAAATAAAGGGGCGGGGTTATATAAATATATATTCATAGATATATATGTAAAACATATGTTTTCTCACAATGGATCGCCAAATTTATATACATATAATGTACATTTTGTAAAAAGAGCAGTTTTGTCACACTGATTCTTTCCAGGAAGAATTTTATATAATATAGATACTTACGTTTTGTGCTTCAAGAACTCATTTTCTCATGATGAGTTATGGATCCGAACACTGAGTTGGTGCAATTCTAACACTGCTTTTTGTCATCTTTTATTTTAATGAAATGCTATTACCTTAACTGTTGTATCTGAGGTAAAAGAAGAAAGAAAAAAGCCTTTATACTCCTGTTTTTCTTTACAAACGTACATTTTATCTCACTATTTTCACAGAAGAAAATATTGTGGTCATAATTGTTTCTTGTTCATTACACCTTGCAATGCACTTTTCATTGTTTTTCAGAGAAGATTCCCTATGCGTGTATATCTCGATTACTTATTGTATACTTACTATATATATCTCTTAAAAGTCTAATGCAGCTGTTTTTATCTCAATATCAAATCATTTCTGGGTAACAGTTAAGTACCTTACTGTGATTATTTTTCAATTAAAATGGTCAAAAATAAACAAATGGCTTCTTAGCACAGAGCAATTTATCAATCAAGAATGTTGCTAGGACTGTGTGGGAGTGGTCTGAGTGGGGAGGGGAAAACTGAAAACTAGCTTTTATTGGCAGAGAGGTTTGGAACTTTGTGTAACCTAAGACCAATAAGACTCGTTCTTATTGAACCATGAACTAATTTGAGCAGGCCAAAACTCCATCCCACCAAAACAGTCTGAAATTTCAGGTGGTCTTTTCAAACAGCTCTTACACTAAAAGGGCATTATAATCATTTTCACAATTTCACAGTATTATTCCAACCTCTGTGTGGAAATATATATATATATATAAAACACAGGAAAATCACGTTTTTGACTGCACTGGGCTTTTAAGATAATGTATTTTCTTTAATACAGGTTTGCCTCCATTTTGAGCAGATGTATGCAGGCAGCATTTGAATCGTTTTTTCTTTTCAAGTATAGCTGTGTTAGACACTGCCATTATGTTTCTGATGTGAAAACACATTTCCTACTAAACATGGACATTGGAATGGTTGAATTCATCTGTAGTGTCCGTTTACTTACATCAAGGTACTGCTATGTCATTGAGATGTCTGTCTGTGCATTTATTTCTTTTAAACATAGGATTCAATCCATGACTAGGTGTTGTGGCGGGTTTTAATTTAACACGTTTTTTACCTCCTACCCCTTTCAGATATAAACAAGATGGTATAAGGAAGACGGTATGGTAAAGAAGACAGGGTTTTTGTCTAGATATGACAAGGCTATAGTGGCTTGTGAAAGTATTCACCCCCCCCCCCCCCGGCATTTTTCCTATTTTGTTGCCTTACAACCTGGAATTAAAATGGATATTTTGGGGGTTTGTATTATTTGATTTACACAACATGCCTACCACTTTGAAGATGTAAAATATTTTTTCTTGTGAAACAAACAAGAAATAAGAACAAAAAACAGACAATTTGAGCGTGCATAACTATTGACCCCCCCCCCCCCCCCCCCCCCCCCCAAGTAAATACTTTGTAGAGCCACCTTTCACAGCAATTACAGCTGCAAGTCTCTTGGGGTATGTCTCTATAAGCTTGGCACATCTAGCCACTGGGATTTTTGCCCATTCTTCAAGGCAAAACTGCTCCAGCTCCTTCAAGTTGGATGGGTTCTGCTGGTGTACAGCAATCTTTTAAGTCATACCACAGATTCGCAATTGGATTGAGGTCTGGGCTTTGAGTTTTGGTGGGCCGCCCTCTCTTGGCAGGTTTGTTGTGGTGCCATATTCTTTCATTTTTTTTTAAATAATGGATTTAAAGGTGCTCCTTGGGATGTTAAAAGTTTCGGATATTTTTTTTATAACCCAACCCTGATCTGTACTTCTCCACAACTTTGTCCCTGACCTGTTTGGAGAGCTCCTTGGTCTTCATGGTGCTGCTTGCTTAGTGGTGTTGCAGACTCTGGGGCCTTTCAGAACAGGTGTATATATACTGAGATCATGTGACAGATCATGTGACACTTAGATTGCACACAGGTGGACATTATATAACTAATTATGTGACTTCTGAAGGTAATTGGTTGCACCAGATCTTATTTAGGGGCTTCATAGCAAAGGGGGTGAATACATATGCACACACCACTTTTCCGTTATTTATTTTTTAGAATATTTCTTAAACAAGTTATTTTTTTCATTTCACTTCACCAATTTGGACTATTTTGTGTATGTCCATTACATGAAATCCAAATAAAAATCAATTTAAATTACAGGTTGTAATGCAACAAAATAGGAAAAACACCAAGTGGGATGAATACTTTTGCAACGCACTGGATATTTACATTTACGTCATTTAGCAGACACTCTTATCCAGAGCGACTTACAGTTAGTGCATACATCATTTTTTTTATACTGGCCCCCCATGGGAATCGAACCCACAACCCTGGCGTTGCAAACGCCATGCTCTACCAACTGAGCTACATCCCTGCCAGTCATTCCCTCCCCTACCCTGGGCCAATTGGGCGCCGCCCCATGGGGTCTCCTGGTCGCGGCTGGCTACGACAGAGCCTGGATTTGAACCAGGATCTCGAGTGGCACAGCTAGTACTGCAATGCAGTGCCTTAGACCACTGCGCCACTCGGGAGACATGATATGACAGGAGACTGGTATTATGAGCTGCACATGGTGGGTAAATGTTTCTCGCGTACCACGACTAGTATTTTGCCAGGCCGTTTACTGAAAATGCACACTTAACCGGTCAATCTACATGTAAACTAGAACCAAATCTCTGACAAGAAAGGCAGTTTGACTGCATGTTTGACTATTTTTTTTTTTGGGGGGTCCGGCTGGTAGATCAAGAATTCCACTGTATTGGCCCAGTCCCAGTCATACATAACACGTCTTGACAGTGTGATAGTTATTAAACTAGCATTTCCCTTTTCACCTGTCACGGAAATCTGGAAAGGAAACCACCTAAAAGCATTGCGTGATTGGCATCACTAGCCATCGTCACACATAGATCTTTAGTGTGCCCATCCAGTTCCTGTTCAATACCACAGAGACTTCAAAGAAACTGAGTTTGACTATGCAGGTGAGAGTGAGAGGTTTCCCTTGGCAACTCACTTCACGTTCATAACCACACAGGGAGAGGCCGGTTGGGGTTTGAACCTTTTCATAAAACACATGCTGTAGCCTCACACAGTAACCTATGGTGGAGGACAGTTACTTCTGCTTGCGTAAGCCACCTGTGTGCTGAAAGCCTCTAAAACCTGAGCGCACTGCTCCTTCCCTATGATGTGTGAGAGAGAAATAGAGAGGGAGAAAAGGGGAATATGGTGTCCGTCTGTCTTTGTCTGCGTGTCCAATATGTGACATGTTCTATAGTTTCCAGAGAGAGAACACACTGAGGCAGGAAGATCGGACTGTGATGCTACTCGCCCTCTCTTGGAACAGACTATTCCCTTTGACAATGGACGTCTGACGTTGTGGCCTGTGCCCTAGCCTCCGCCAAGAGCCAGCGGCCTGTTGAATAAAATGTGATTGTCCGGACGACCACAATGCAGAAAACGTTCCCCTGTACCCTCCAGAAAACAAAAGTGGCCCTGTTCTCCCACCACGGCCCTATGAAGGAGGGCACTGTCCCCTGTCCTCTGGGCAGGGGTGGGGTGTGGGGCGTTTGGGATTCCAGTGCGGGCATCACTGGGAGAGACGCCGGGCTTGTGGAACACAAACGCCTGTTCTAGGCCTACAGCTGAAAAGCATATGAATATTGATACATAGTTTGATATGTGGGAGATGAACAGAGTGGAATCCTTTGAGACTGGGTGAGACTGAGCTGGTTTCTATGTCTCCATGCCAGGAGGAATTGGACAGCCTGATGCTGTGCTGATGATGTCCCACTGTGTCATGGGAACACTGCATCCTAATAGAGAAGAGACTCACTCATGTTGGTCATAAGCAGTGACGTCCATCAGTGGTTCCCAACGAGGGGTACTAGCACCCCTGGGGGTACTTGGCCTATCCACAGGGGGTACCTTAGAAGACTCATGAGACCATAGGCTTACTGGTAAAATGCACATGAGGGGGTACTCCGGGTAGAACAAAATTCAGTTGGTGGTACAGTAACTGAAAAAAGTTGGGAACCACTGATGTAGATAATCTGTCCTCACACTGAATGAGGGAGTAGAACAAAATCCACCCAGAGGAGGCTGGTGGGAGGAGCTATAGGAGGATGGGCTCATTGTAATGGCTGGAACGGAATAAATGGAAAGGTACCAAACACATGGAAACAACGTGTTTGACTCCATTCCATTGGTTCCATTCCAGCCATTACATGGGCCTGTCCTCCGATAGCTCCTCCCACCAGCCTCCTCTGAATCCACCCATTATACCAGGAACACTCGCTAACCAAATACATTTAGCTAATTCATAACCACATCAGCCCTAAAGCAAGCAATCATTCTCCTCTGACATTGCATGGGTGATAAGTTTGAAGGGGAAAGTCAAGGAAATAAAGTTGGTTCATTTTCCCGGTACAGGAAGTGAAAGAGGAGAGCAAACATTGCTTTGACCTTGTGGACTAGTTCTCTAATTGTGTTAACCAAAGAGCTGTTTGGTGACATTTCAGCACAGGTGTATGTGTGCATGTGTGTGTACACGTGATGTACTTGTGTGCATGAGAGATGTCTTCCGTTTTGCAGCTATGACACACTGAGTGTACAAAACATTAGGAACACCTGCTCTTTCCACGACATAGACTGACCAGGTGAAAGCTATGAACCCTTATTGATGTCACTTGTTAAATTCACTTCAATCAGTGTAGATGAAGGGGAGGAGACAGGTTAAAGAAGGATTTTCAAGCCTTGAGACAACTGAGAGATGGATTGTGTATGTGTGCCATTCAGAGGGTGAATGGGCAAGCCAAAATATTTAAGTGCCTTTAAACGTGGTTTGGTAGTAGGTGCCAGGCGCACCGGTTTGAGTGTGTCAAGAACTGCAACGCTGCTGGGTTTTTCACGCTCAACCGTTTCCTGTGTGGTCCACCACCCAAAGGACATCCAGCCAACTTGACACAACTGCGGGAAGCATTAGCGTCAACATGGGCAGCATCCCCGTGGAACGCCTTCGACACCTTGTAGAGTCCATTCCCCGACGAATTGAGGCTGTTCTGAGGGCATAAGGGGGTGCAACTCAATATTAGGAAGGTGTTCCTAATGTTTTGTACGCTCAGTGTAGGTGGCTGGTTTAAGGAACACCATCACATCTGACTAGAGCCTTGTTTACACCTTGCGCTAACATGTGAGTTTTGTGATCTGATAAATATGATCCAATGCCCATCTGATCAAGTTTTGTTGCGTCTACACATGGTGTTAAAATGTGTCTCATCCGTCCACTGTGTCCAGATTGTGACCTGATCAGCTGGTTTCTCCCTGTCTGCAAATTATTTGACAGAAATTCTTTCAAAATATTATGAATTAATTTATTTTAAGACAGTTACTGGTGCCATAAGACTTAGGTCAATGGTGCTTCCTGTCAATGATTTTAGTGGTTGGTAAATTATGATTTAAATGGTTTGACCATCCAGATCCGGAGGTCAGGAAGATCTGATCACAATCAGATTGTGTCTTTTAATCGCCTACACCTGTAAATGTGGGCACAATCAGAATGTGGACAAGATCAGAATGTGGACAAGATCAGGACATAGGACGCATGTTAGCACCAGGTATAAACAGGGCTCAGGAGAGCAATAGAACCAGTTCATGAGGATGTTTTTCGCATATTGACATTTATTGTCATGAGCCTTGCCCTGGAGGCAGCACTGAGTGGTTTCCACTAGATTGGCCAGTGGCAAAGTCAAAAGTGGCGATATTGTAAAAATTCATAAAAACTAAAATTAGCTTTTTGGCTTCATTTAAGGTTAGGGTTAGCAATCATTAGGGTTAAGGTTTAAAATCAGATTTTATGACTGTGGCTGTGCCAGCTAGTGACCACTCTGCCTCCAGTACATGAGTCATCCCAATAAATGCCAACCTGCGTGGTTTTCACGCTGCAGGCTTGACACTGACAGTCAGTAAGGCAAAGAGACAGCTCTGAATTCAAGTGTAATATTCTCTTGTAACTACATTTAGACCTTCTTGCTGTTTGGAGTAACACATTTGTGGTGAGTTAGTCTATTAGGTTATGTTATAGGTCATCTTGTGTATGTATAAAGGTTTCTCATTAGGATTTAATATATCATATACCTATATAGGTGTATATAGGTATATAGGTATATTTAAGCAATAAGGCCCGAGGAGGTGTGGTACATGGCCAATATACCATGGCTAAGGGCTGTTCTTATGCACGACACAACGCGGAGTGGTCTTATTGGTCATATATCATGCCTTTGCTCTGAGTTGTCAGTGTGGAATGGAGGACATTCCAGTGGAGACTTTAGTCCTGGGCCTCAAAATAGTTTATGTCCACCTGGGGAAAAAGGCATAACGTGATCAGTTAATCTCAACCATAGAAATAGAATCATTCTAGTTCTGTGTTCTCAACATGCTTTGTGAGTGCTCCAACACTGTGCCTTGAGTCCTATTTGGAAGTTTAAGACATCCAGTCAGCTCTTATTTAGAGTTTCTGTTGGTGGTTTCAGGAGGAGTTGTGGCATTTAATTTAGAGCGTTTGACCACGTCCTGAGCTTTGTCTTTCATATGAGTTCACCTGCTCTCTAGTCTGTATTTAGTCACACCGTGGAGCAGTCTGTATTGTGCTGTTCATAGGTGTGTTACATTGTGTTTTATGGTTAGGGGTTAACAATTACTGCTCTGGGAACTGTTTCATGTGAATGTGACCTCCCAGAAAGTGTGCGGGATGGAAACTATCTCTAAATGTTTCTTATCGTTCCATGTCTTTCTTCTTTGGAGTTTTTTTGTTGTCTTAATCATCCATCTCTCTAGAACTTTTCTATCTATAATCATCTAGGAAATGAGGTGACAAGGACAGGGAGGAGACTCACGCAAATGCACCCCCCACACACATACTCTCTCTCTCTCACACACACACACACACCCTCTCTCTCTCACTCACACACACACAAACACACACACACACATAAACAATGTTGGAGAATGTAACCATCCTCTGTCAAACCGGTTTCCCGCCGGCACAGTTGCCTTCTTTGCTCTTCTCCAGTATTGTGTCTTTGAGAGATAATCTGTAATATTCAGTCTTCCTTTCAGTACTCATGACGCACTGTACGCCTTGAGTTCACTGTATCACCTTTATGGATTTCCATGTCAGTGGATTATGTTTCTATAGAAATGGGTGCTTCTCCAGTGAGGATCTCAGTTTGTGGATCTATCCCCTTCAGACAGGATCTATCCCCTTCAGACTGGATCTATCCCCTTCAGACTGGATCTATCCACTTCAGACTGGATCTATCCCCTTCAGACTGGATCTATCCCCTTCAGACTGGATCTATTCTCTTCAGACTGGATCCTCCAGACTGGATCTATCCCCTTCAGACTGGATCCTCCAGACTGGATCTATCCTCTTCAGACAGGATCTATCCCCTCCAGACTGGATCTATCCCTTTCAGACTGGATGAAGTGTGTGTGGTTGTTTTTGTGTGTGTGTTTCTGTGTGGGTGGGTGAGTGCCTGCCTTCCTGCATGAGCGTGAGTGAGTGTGTGTGGCCTCTCACAAGCTGCCAAACAATCCTGAGATTCCGACCACAATGGATGTTTACTAAACTGTAGAAAACATGTGGGCTGTTTTCAGTCACATCATTATGGCTGCTTTGCCACCTGAGGGTGTCTGTGCACAGGTGTTAAGTTTCAGATCTGTGTGTCTCTCTCTCTCTCTCTCTCTCTCTCTCTCTACCCGTTCTCTCTCTCTCTCTCTCTCTCTCTCTCTCTCTCTGTGTACGTGCTGTTTTATGCATGAGACTGCTGCTTCTGTTTCAGTTACTTTGGGTGACCACTCACCTCAGCCCTGGCACCTACCCCACACGTTAGAAACTGTTGCTGTCAACAGCATAAAGGTTTACATGACATGGTTGCAGTAGTTTATAGAAGGGCTCTAGGGAGAAGGATTGACATGAGAGAAAGCAGACATGAAGTGGGGTATAGATACAGTCATCTGTCATTGACCTCATAATTACACAAAGCTGAGGCTATTCCAATGTAACCAGCTTGTTTACGATGCCTCCTTAAAACACTCTGACCTCACATCACCTATAGGACTATATAATATTTTTACATTTACATTTTAGTCATTTAGCAGACGCTCTTATCCAGAGCGACTTACAGTTAGTGAGTGCATACATTATTATTTTTTATTTTGCATACTGGCCCCCCGTGGGAATCGAACCCACAACCCTGGCGTTGCAAACGCCATGCTCTACCAACTGAGCTACATCCCTGCCGGCCATTCCCTCCCCTACCCTGGACGACGCTGGGCCAATTGTGCACCGCCCTATGGGTCTCCCGGTCACGGCCGGCTACGACAGAGCCTGGATATAATATTGTAGCAACCTTAACCCAACACCTAGCGATGCGTGCATGTGAGGGACTTGGTATAGAGAAGCGTGGGGACACACTCTTCCGACGGAAGGGGTTTTAAGGTAGCGACCTTAACCCAACCCCTGGTGACCTTGTCGGGAGGTTCAGATCTGTTGGCTAAGGTGTTGGGTTGACAGTCGCTGGACCGGGGTTTGATTCCCGGTCGGGGCTACCCCCCAAATTTGCTACAATATCATGACTGTGGTAGTCATAAGTCCATCTACCACAGTATTTAGATTTGGAGGGTCTGAATCAAGGCTCATTCTCACTCAGTCAGCAACCCAAGACTTTAGAACTCCAATCCAAGACTTTAGGACTCCAATCCAAGACTTTAGGACTCCAACCCAAGACTTTAGGACTCCAACCCAAGACTTTAGGACTCCAATCCAAGACTTTAGGACTCCAACCCAAGACTTTAGGACTCCAACCCAAGACTTTAGGACTCCAACCCAAGACTTTAGGACTCCAACCCAAGACTTTAGAACTCCAACCCAAGACTTTAGGACTCCAACCCAAGACTTTAGGACTCCAACCCAAGACTTTAGGACTCCAACCCAAGACTTTAGAACTCCAACCCAAGACTTTAGGACTCCAACCCAAGACTTTAGGACTCCAACCCAAGACTTTAGGACTCCAATCCAAGACTTTAGGACTCCAACCCAAGACTTTAGGACTCCAATCCAAGACTTTAGGACTCCAACCCAAGACTTTAGGACTTCCTTTCTCCTTTGTTCCTTTTCTTCAACCTCTTTCTCTAGCTGTCTCTCCTCCTCAGTAACTATCCTCCCTCTGTCACCCTCCTGCTCTCTCTCTCTCTCTCTCTCTTCCATCCTAGATAGTAAATTGGTCTTGCAATAAACACCCACACGCAGGCGGGGTGCTCTCCAAGTTCTCTCTCGCTATATTGCTCTCTCTCTCTATCTCTCTCTCTCTCTCTCTCTCTCTCTCTCTCTCTCTCGCTCTCTCTTTCCACTCAGTAGAATTAAATGGTCTTGTAAAAACACACAGAGCGGGGTGGCATCCAAGTGTTTTGCATGCTCCTGCTCCCCTCCCTACGCTCTGTCAAATAAAAATAGTGGTTGCTATCAGCTGTTCTGCTATCAGCGTTTTTATACTGTATGTTTAACAAGGTGAGGCTATGAGAGGGAGAGGGAGCACCACAGAGCCTGGAGACTGTAGCCAACCTCTGCACAGATTTTGCCTCAGTCTTTTGCCATTTGAATGGTTTGCCTTTATGGTGTCTAGGAGGAGTGAATGTGGTTCAGTGGTTGAATGTGACTGATTGTAGCTATAGCTGTGATTTCTCCACTATAATTTAATAGAACCACGGTGTTCCTCTCAGATGCATTGTATAATGACTAATGCTTTCAGGAGATGAACTCTGTTCTAGGAAATACCTTTAGAAAGTTTGCTGATGGGAATTCTTTAGGAGGTAGCCTAACAATAGTTTATTGCCTGGTTAACTGCTGACCAAACATGTCTCTGTAATTTACAGGCGACAGGCTAAAGGTAAGATGTCAATTCAGAACATGTAAACAGCTAAAGTGTATAAACCTTTGGTCTCTGTTAAAGAATTTGAAACCTATACAATTAATGTGTGTGTGTGCGCGCGCGCGTGTCTGTGTGTGAGAGAGAGGGAGACAGAGAGATGTAACACTTTTAAAACATCTTCTCGGTCTTTTCATAGGCTAAATGTCTAAAAAGCAAAATACTTATCATGTAAATGAGGTTGGAGGTGGAGGCGTTATTTAACGTTGTAAATGCGCGTCCTAAATAGCATATAGAGAGGGAGGCGGTTTCGGGGTTGACCCTGCAGTGGCGTCACTGTGGTGCGAAAAGGGACTTCGGAGATAGCAAGAGGACAGACGTTAGTAGTATGAGCCAAATGATACGGAGGAAAAGAGAGTTAGCTGTTTAGCGCTCCGGGAACTTTTTCATGCTGCACAAACAACGAGGTAGGCATAATAATATATTTCCTCCTTTATGATAACTTTGAAATGTTTTTTTTTGTTTGTTACGAAATCATGCCACAGCTTTTGTTTCGTTTTCCAATAAGCCTATCAGAAAATGTTAGAGAAAGTGATTTGCTTTTGCTACAGTTTCAATGAATGTGTTCAATGAATGTGTCAATGCATCACTGTTTAGGCTATGGAGCTGAATAGATCCAAATGATTTATAATTTAAATGTATCCTAAGCCTATGGCTCCGTTTTTAGTTGTCACCTAGATTGATCACATCCCAGTCAACTAGGCTATATAGCCTGTAATTGCTAAACATTGTATATATTGTTTCCTAATGTAACAGTTAACAGTTCATATGTTCAAATAATTAATTCATTACCATAGCTCTATTAATTATTAGGCTACTGTGAGGGTATTTTTTTATTCGGAGGAACTACAGTATTTCTGATTCCCAAGGACGTATGGCAATGCAGCTTTTCAGCTCTTGTAGGCTAAGGCATAACCTGCCGTGAGATGTATTTAGATTCAAATTCAAACTGCATGGGTTTTAGATTTACAATAGTGTTTTCCTTCAGGCTCTATCAATTGTGACTAGTCTGAGCGCGTAAAGGAATGAACGTCACAGAACCAATCCTAGCCTACTTTATGTCTGATCCCAATTTGTAAATCGCTCTGGATAAGAGCGTCTGCTAAATGACGTAAATGTAAATGATGCCTGTTGCTTTTTTTCATTCTTCGAAATCTCCTTGTTAGTTGGCTATAAAAAATAAGCTATGTAAAATCATGAAAGAATCATGTAAAACCACAAGGTCTTCTACCTGACCTAATTCTTTCCAATAGGTGCACTTACGGCTACAGCAAATAGTCTCCCCTATCAGTCCACAAGTCAACACGTTCCATTTGTGAGTAAGTATGCGGTGATACTGTTCCCATTGCGATTATTTACCTGCATGGTGTGCAAACACACCGCTCTTTGTCGCCCTTGAGCGAATTCCCACCTGATGCAACGCGCCCGCGGGAGGAGAGAGGCAGAGCTGGGGACTGAGGGAGGGAGGGGAGGTGGGATGTTTGGCGACAGCTATGCAAACTGGCTCCAATCTCAGTCGGGGCGGGCAAACCGAGGTGACAGACCATTCCGATTCCCAGGATTGTTTTCATCCGCACATCGACCCTGTGACCTCTGTGATATAAGTCTATGACCTCCTCAACCTGAGTGATGCTGACATTGAGCAGATCCGGATTACTGTACCAGGACCCCCAGAAGGTTTTTCCAGATGGTCGCACTCTAATACCCCTTTCTTAACTCCCAAATAAAGGATTCCATCCTAATGCAGTTTAGTCATTTATCCAGTAATGGGGTTTTCTGGGTGTTAAACCAATTAATGTCTTGTAATCGTGTGTAATTGTATTTCAGCCTCATGTCTTTTTTAAGGCCTGCATTAGGCCACTATTACATTGTCATCAATATTAGCCTGTAGGTTCTTTGTTTTTCACTTCATCATTTTACATTTTAGTCATTTTGCAGACATTCTTATCCAGAGCAACTTACAGTAGTGAGTGCATACATTTTTGTACTTTTTCATACTGGTCCCCCGTGGGAATCGAACCCACAACCCTGATGTTGCAGGTACCATGCTCTACCAACTGAGCTTCATCTCCCTCTGTTTGACATCTATTCAGTTGATATCTCTCATGCATAGTGTCCATAGTTTATGGATCAACCATGCTGTGATGGTCATGTCAGGCTATCAACCATGCTGTGATGGTCATGTCATGCTATCAACCATGCTGTGATGGTCATGTCAGGCTATCAACCATGCTGTGATGGTCATGTCAGGCTATCAACCGTGCTGTGATGGTCATGTCAGGCTATCAACCGTGCTGTGATGGTCATGTCAGGCTATCAACCGTGCTGTGATGGTCATGTCAGGCTATCAACCGTGCTGTGATGGTCATGTCAGGCTATCAACCGTGCTGTGATGGTCATGTCAGGCTATCAACCGTGCTGTGATGGTCATGTCAGGCTATCAACCGTGCTGTGATGTCATGCAGTATCACGTGCTGTGATGGTCATGTCAGGCTATCAACCGTGCTGTGATGGTCATGTCAGCTATCAACCGTGACTGTGATGGTCATGTCAGGCATCAACCGTGCTGTGATGGTCATGTCAGGCTATCAACCGTGCTGTGATGGTCATGTCAGGCTAAGATCTTTTTCTTGTTTTTTTATCCCGAGTGTGATATTATTCTGGCTATCAACTGTCTGTCAAACCGCTGTAGTGACTGACGTGCTGTACCATAGGTCATTGTACATCCGTATATCAAACTCAAGCGTCGGATGTTTCTGGCTGAGTGCCGTGCTGAGAGGAGGGAAACTGTGTTTGACATCATTCAATGGACCATCAACCATGGTCTCGAGATTGATCATTCAGCAGATCCTTCTTCCTTATGGACCTGTTTTGTTACGCTCCAGGTGGAAGGTGCCCTTTGACACAGATCTAGAATCAGATTACCATCCTCAAATCATAACCTTAACCATTAAGGGTGAAAATGTTATTAGATGATGTTAGATCATCTTAGGAGCAACTTTATCCTACTCCGTCTGGTGCTGCTAAGCATGGTCATTGAGCTAGTAGTGTGTTTTGTGGTCATATTCAATCCCCGGGACCACCCATACACAAAAATGTATGCACGCATGACTGTAAGTCGCTTTGGATAAAAGCGTCTGCTAAATGGCATATTATTATTATTATTATTATTATAATGGTCTTTATCAGGTGATGTCATCGTGATGTCATATGAGCCTGTAGTGGGGCTGTGAGGAAGTTATTTGTTGAGCTTCAGTCCCCAGTGTTCTATTCTCAGCTCCTTCCTGAAGACTACGCTAACATTTGCTTACCAGACTTTAAATGGTTCCCGCTGGGGGGACCTACCACACACAAACACAAACACACACACACACCCTTTTCCTTCCACAACCACCAGCAAAACCAGTGTCAATGACAGCAGCGGAGTAGGCAAGCTGTGGCCCCCCTTCATCTCAACGAGGACTTCACCAGCCCCTCTCCCCTCTTCATCTCAACAAGACTTCACCAGCCCCTCCCCCATCTCCCCTCTTCATCTCAACGAGGACTTCACCAGCCCCTCTCCCCTCTTCATCTCAACAAGGACTTCACCAGCCCCTCCCCCCTCTCCCCCCTCATCTCATTGAGGACTTCACCAGCCCCTCCCCCCTCTCCCCCCTCATCTCATTGAGGACTTCACTAGCCCCTCTCCCCTCATCTCAACAAGGACTACACCAGCCCCTCCCCCCTCTCCCCTCTTCATCTCAACAAGGACTTCACCAGCCCCCCCCCCCTCTCCCCCCTCATCTCATTAAGGACTTCACCAGCCCCTCTCCCCTCATCTCAACAAGGACTTCACCAGCCCCTCCCCCCTCTCCCCTCTTTATCTCAACGAGGACTTCACCAGCCCCTCCCCCCTCTCCCCTTCTCCCTCTCCCTTCTGTTCCCCTCTCCCCCACTCCTCTCTTCTCTTGGTCCCTGTGGTTGGTGACATCAGAAAAATAAGCTGTTTATGGTGCAGTATTGTCAGTGCAGCAGTTGAAGTAGAGCCATGCATTGATGCACAGCGTATTGAGGTATAAGTGTGGGTTACTGTGAGTGTCTGCCTGTAATTATATCTGCATGTGAAAATTACAGAAGGTTTTTGATGAGTTTGAAATGATTATCCTCACTGGTGCGATCTTATGATGTTCATTCTGTGTGTGTATGATGTGTGATGTGGGATACGGCCCACCCTGTTGATGTGGGGCTGGATAGGAAAGAGCATGCTGAGACAGCCCTGGAGACGAGGCTGACAATCTGATCATTGTATCAGAGTTGGATGAAGAGGGATGGGGGCGGCATGGTGTGTACATCTGGTTTGTGTGTGTGTTTATCTGTTAGAAGAGTGTCTGTGCATGTTATAGGGGATCGGTTGGGGTGGGACATTAGTCCCAATGGTGCCATTACAAGGCTTGTTAGAGCATTACACATGTGTGTGTGTGTGTGTGTGTACGTGTGTGTACATATTCCACGTGTTGCAGTCCTTGTTGAGATGAAGAGGGGAGAGGGGCTGGTGAAGTCCTCGTTGAGATGAAGAGGGGAGAGGGGGGCTCATAAATAACAGTGTAATGTCAAGGCTGGTGAGTGTGCTATTGTTCTTGGCCTGCAACGTTCTTTACTTTGGAGATGTTGAACTGTTGGAAGAGCTCTGTAAATTCTACTACTCAGATATAAAGTGTGGACTTTAGAACACAGATCTGTGCTGAATGTACTAAGTGTCCAAACTGGCCTAACGTTCCATTGTCTCTAAACCCCCCTCTCCTATTCCCTCCCCCAGGAGAGCAGGGCATGGCCGGTAAGCCGTTCCGGGCCACCTTCATCTGGAGCAGCATCATCGCCAACCTCCAGCAGCGCGTCGAGGTCAAGCGCCACCGCCACAACCTCAAGACCTACTATGACTGTTTCCTGGGGTCAGAGGCTGTGGACGTGGTGCTGGCCCATGTCATCCAGTCACGTTTCTGCGGCGATGCCGAGGTGCCTCGCTCCAAGGCCGTACGCCTCTGCCAGGCCCTGATGGACTCGCGGGTGTTCGAGGCGGTGGGCACCAAAGTATTTGGGAATAAGGAGAAGTGGCGTGCCACCTTCGAGGACAGTAGCTGTAGTCTGTACCGGTTTCTTCCGCTTCCGTCTAGTCCCACTACCATGACCAGCTCGCACTCGACGAGCACCATCACCATCGAGAGTGAATACGACTCGCCGAGCAAACACCGGAACAGCTATAGCCCACCTCTCAAACGGTACGGTAGGCTGAGTTTAAAGCTATGTTCATGAGTTGATATGTTTCGTAATCATTCCCAAATAGCGGATTAACAATGAATTAATTTTATGAGGGCTTTCATCCCAAAACTCAACTCATGTATCGCCAATGAGTATCAACCTCTGTGACCTTGTTGTTACTCTCACTGATTGGTGCTTCTCAGTTGTCCAATCAAGGCTCTCCTTGCTGATGATTGTGATAATGTTCCCGTAAACCTAATTTGCATGGCTCAAACTCTTGATTCTTGCAGCATAATTCCTATGATTTTTTCTTTCTACCCAAACATGCAGTTAGACACTCGGTTAGAGAGCTCCTTTTTAGGCAGTGAGACAGGGACTGTAGGTTTTGACTCAGAGCTCTATAAGTGGTTATGGGTTTAGAGAGTTTGTCACAGAGCCTGCAGATTTGGCGCCGTTGGTCATTATTCTGGGAAGTCCAGAGATAAAGAGGTGATGTCAATGTTTTCAGTATGTGTTGTGGATGCTATGTGTCTCTCTTCTGTCTTTAAGAGTGTAGAACAGTAAGTAGCTATTCTCCATGAAACTTTTATTTTTTTCTGAAGAATTCCTTAAGGACACTAGAGTGTAGAGGACTGAGATCTGCACTGAGATCAACAGGAGAACTGAAGTGGTGTGAGGATAATATCATATGGCCATTGGCCATGGTGGCTCTCTGGTCTCCCCCGAACCATGTAAAGTGGTCCTAAGTGACAGCTCAGGACTGTACCCATGAAAACCTGCTGCCTCCAATCTGTCTCACTGAGATGAAAGAGTGGAGAGAGATGGAGAGAGCGAGAGTAGAGAGAAAATGGAGAGAGAGTAGAAGAGAGAGAGGAGAAAGAGAGGAGAGAGAGTAGAGAGAGAGTGAGAGAGAGAGGGTAGAGAGAGAGAAAGAGAGAGAGGAGAGCGAGCGAGAGAGAGGAAGAGAGAGAGTAGGTAGAGCGAAAGAGAGAGAGCGAGAGAGAGAAAGAGAGTGTTATTGTAAAGCCATACTTTAGGTGAACTGTGCTCCCAAGGAGTTTTATATAAAAACACACCAAGCACACTCTTGAGGCAAAGTATGATTGCACCAAGGACAGCGTTTAAAACGTAAAATGTAATGATTCTATCAAAATCCAAAGAGGAGTGTGGAGGTAAATTGGAAGATAGTTTTTGTTTTGCTAAATGTGTTTAACACCAATTTCACCAAGTAGACATATTCTGGTCACCTGTGATTGAAAAATAAAAATTTCTAAATGCTACTTTGGGTTCCGGTAATAACAGGTCTGTGATTGCTCCAATCATGTCCACTGATTTCTCTCATTATGTTCGTCCTCAGTAAAGAGGATCAGTACTCCAACAACCACTCTCTGGTCAAAACAGACAAATCACTAGAGGACGTGTTGGGGAACCTCAACGTCACCTCAACCATCACCCCACAGATGATCAACCTCGGCCTCTCACAGGAGTGTAAGTGTCCATAGAAAATATATGTTGGCATGTGTCCCTGCATGATTATCAGTGTGTGTTTGTTACTTTGGATGTGTGTATCTGTGGTAAAGTCCCTATAGTGACTTCTCTTCCTGTCTTCCTCAGTGGTGGATGAGGTGTGGCGCCAGCAGACGGTGTTCAGGCTGCTACAGCTGATAGAGCTCCCCCTGCTGGAGAGTCTGTTGGAGGGCGAGGAGCGGCCCAGGCCTCCGCTGCACAGCATGGACAGTGACCCAGACCTGCTCTACACATCCAGCTACCTGGACAGAGAGGTCCTGAAGGCCTTCAGCGAAGCACAGTACGTCTCCTACTACTACTACTAGTCCTACTACTACTAGTAGTCCTACTACCACTACTACTACTAAAACTACTACTACTACTACTACTACTACTACTAGTCCTACTACTACTACTACTGCTACTACTACTATTACTACTACTAGTTATACTACTACTACTACTACTAAAACTACTACTACTACTACTAGTCCTACTAATACTATACTAATACTAGTCATACTACTACTACTACTACTACTACTACTACTACTATTACTACTACTACTACTACTACTAGTCACTACTACTACTACTACTACTACTACTACTACTACTACTACTACTACTACTACTAACTACTACTACTAGTACTACTATCACTACTACTATAGTCCTACTCTACTACTACTACTACTATCCTACTACGTACTACTACTACTACCTACTAGATCTACTACTTACTACACTACTACTTAGTCCTATTACTAATAGCCTATATACACTACTACTACTACTACTACTAGTCTAACTACTAATAGGTCCTACTGTACTACTACTACTAGTCCACTACCCACTAGTCCTACTAAAATCTGTCACTACTGTCACTACACCTACTTAGTCATACCGCTACTACTCAACTACTACTAACTTACTCTACTATATCTGCTTACTACTATAGCTCTACACTACTATATTGACTACTAATACTCTACTATACTAGTCACTACTACTATACTAGTCCTACTTCTAATACTACTACTACTAATCACTATACTATCTACTACTACTATATCTACTCTATACGTCCTACTATACTAGCTATTCTATACTACTACATAGTCCTACTACTACGGTACTAAGACCTACTACTACTAATACTAGTCCTACCTCTACTACTACTACTATTAGTCCTACTACTAATCCTACTAATCCTACTAACTCTACTACTAGTCCTATTTCTACTACTTATCTCCTTCTCCGTCTCTCTTTCCCTCCTTATCCCCCTACCCTCTTCCATTTAATAGTTTGTTCCAGGCATAGGTAAGGACAGTGAAAGGACACCTTCTTTAGCTACAACAACCCAAAACATTCCCAGGCATGAGGCTGATTGACTGACTAGCTACAGTTAAAGCTTGCTGAGCACATTCAATAACTCTCCCGTCATACATAAAGCAGCCGATTTTGATCTCCATTCTCTCTCACTCCCTGTGAATCATAGTCTATATATTTATCTGACTGGGCAGAAATGTATGGCCGGTAGTCTTGTTAAGCTTTGGTTGGCGTGTGTACTGTACGTCCAGCCTTTCAACATGTTGCAGCCAGACGCCTAGCGTAGCCTCTGTCACAGCAGGACAGTGTTATGCAATGGAGCTGGCTGGTGTGTGTGTGTGTGTGTGTGTGTGTGTGTGCGTGTCAGTGAGGGCCTCTCTCTGTATTGATGCTGCCCCCAGGGCTCTCTGGCACTCAGGGACAAATGGCTAACTGACTGCAGTCTCTGGGCTGTGCTTGTCTGAAAGTCAAGGGCAGCTTGATTGAACATATCTGTCTCTCTCTGATCTTTCTCTCTCCTCTCCACTCTCTCGCTCTCTCTCTGATCTTTCTCTCTCCTCTCCTCTCTCTCTCTCTGATCTTTCTCTCTCCTCTCCTCTCTCTCGCTCTCTCTCTCTGATCTTTCTCTCTCCTCTCCTCTCTCTCGCTCTCTTTCTCTCTCTATTTCTCTCTTCTCTCTCTCTCTTCTTCGCTATCTCTCTCTCTCCTCTTTAGATTGGCTTCATTTACATCATCACTTATAATCCCCCCCCCCCCCCCGCCTCTCTCAGGGCTGATGAGTGGTTGTCAGCAGCGGTGGACTGTCTGGAGTTCCTGCCAGATGACTTGGTGGTTGAGGTGAGCAGGGGTTTGCCCCGCTGCGGTGAGGACCAGGGCCAGTGTAAGAGACTGGTGTACGGGATCCTGGCCCAGCACTATGGAGAGACACAGCACCCTCCACTACTCAGCAACCACGTCTTCGACATCCACTCCAGCATCTCTGAACTACTGGGTAAGACAGCCATATACAATGTCTATGTGCTCTAGGGCATTTCCTGTGTATAAATGGGTTTAGACTTTTACATAATAAGTATTATGTAAGGGGTTCATTGAGCTGATTAAACCAGTACGTGAAAGCCCAAACGTCATGACTGGGGACAGAAAGGGGGGGTTCAGATTCCTCTACTGACTCTCAGCGAGGACGCCTCTTCTTCCAGTATTATCTAGTAAACTGAAGCCACACCTGGGTTTATCAACTAGTTTGGCTAAGATCCTCTGTAGCTATCTCTCTCATGAATTCACACAGCTGTGATTCCTCCCAGCCTGCCAGGGGCGCTAACACCTATCCTGTCCTCTCTGTGTGTCGATAGTGAATGGGAAGAGGGAGCAGGTTCTGGAGGCCCTACAGCTGTGTCTGAAGCTACAGGACTCTCGCAGTAAAGAGGAGCTACGCAGACTGCTGCGATTCATGGCCGTCGCTGCCAAACCACAGGAGGTCAAACTGCACAAAGAGGTGAGTGGTGTGTGTGTGTGTGTGAGAGTAGTGTGCCAAACTACTCTGAGGTCATATCTACTAGCAGCCACTCTCTATATATGTAGGTAGATGTGAACGTTGTGTTGTTTTCCAGATAGAGAACCGGATGGCGGTGAAGAGATCTTTCTCTAGTGCCATCGTCTACAGCATGAGACTGGCCAAGGGGAAGGTTGACCTACTGGTGCTGTTTATGGTGGAAAACCACTGTGACGTCTTCAAGGTGTGTGTGCACTAATCTTTTATCAGACGCTGTGTGTGTGAATAGGTGAACGGGTAGGCGTGAGTGTCCGTGTGTGTGTGTGCATGTACGTGTATGTGTGTGTGTGTGCATGTACGTGCATGTGTGTGGGTAGGTGGGTGATTAATATGATGTTTTGCACGTGTGTCTAAACTATATAGACTAAAGACCACTGGGTCAGTGCACTGAGGCTCTTGACACCATCTGTTAATAGACTGTTTACTACTCAAACAGTGGGATGGAGTTTGAATGGGACTTCATGAAAGACACTGATCTTAACACTCTTAGAAAAAAAGGTGCTATCTAGAACCTAAAAGGGTTCTTCGGATGTCCCCATAGGAGAACCCTTTGAAGAACCCTTCTTGGTTCCAGGTAGAACCCTTTTGGGTTCAATGTAGACCCTATCCACAGAGGGTTCTACATGGAACCCGAAAGGGTTCTACCTGGAACCAAAAATGGTTCTACCTGGAACCATAAAGGGTTCTACCTGGAACCAAAAAGGGTTCTATGGGGACAGCCGAAGAACCCTTTTGGAACCCTTTTTTTTCAGTGTGTAATGCCTACATCTCAGCAGCATGAGGGTAGAGAGGACGCGATAGAGAATTGCAACACTAGAGCCTAGCCAAGCTGCCATATCTCTGATAGCTTTAATATTGGAGTCGAGCTCAAACAGTGACTACAGTTTGTAAACACAGAGTTCTGTGTGTGAGATTAAACAGATGAAAGCAGCCCTGATCACATGGTTTAACTTATTTGATCTTCTCCTTTCAGATTCCAGTGTCGTTGCACAAGCTTGTGAGCGATAGACTGACCAACATTGTGAAGGGGAAAGACCCACAAGTCTTAACAGGTATGTGAGCTTCTGGAAGCTGTTTGGTTTGTCTGTCTGTCTGTCTGTCTGTCTGTCTGTCTGTCTGTCTGTCTATACTATTATCTGACAAAGCGTCACCTACCTTCTGTGTGTTTGTTGTGGTGAATGAAGACGTAATGCCCTCTCCCTCTTCCTCTCTATCTTTCTCTTCACTCAGGTTCTACATATTGCAGGCGAGTCAATGGAAAAGCGTACATGGAGAGCAAGCAGAAGACTACCAAAGAGGAATTATGGGCTCTACTGAAGACAATCCACGAGAACCCCAAACTGTCAAACAAAGAGAAGAGACGCTTGCTAGGACAGTTCTACAAGGGGCATCCTGAGATCTTTGTCCAGTACTTTGGAAGCAGATTGTCAAGTGATGATATATAGCTAACTAAGGTGATATTTAAGTGAATAACTAATGTATTATTTGTAAAAAGAAAAGACAGACAGACAAAGGTGGTGTAAATGTTGTAAAAATGCAGTGTACAAATATATTTAATTTACTTCGCTCATGTGAAGAGATGAATGTGAAAGCTTGAATACAATTTGAGAATTGTTTTATAATTTCACGTGGAATTCTCTTTCATTTGGCTGTTACAGGGCCATTCATCTCTGATGACATTTTGATAATATAATTTCATGCTCAAAATCTAAGGATGTCAGCCTTATGAAGTAAAGATTGTCTCAGAAGGAAATGAACCCATTTGCCCTTTCTTCGAATGCAGTTGGGACATTCAACAATTTTTTTAGAAATAAGTTCAGAAAATTACAGTCCCAGACAACTTCCCAGAAATATCATTTAAATACACCATTTAGAGACTACAAGTGTCTGTCAAAATATAATACATATTATTTTACATTTCTATGGTTCCTATGGCAACAGGCTGAACAAAAAGTGTAATTGAGAACTCTAATTGTGTGACAGATGCACATGGCTTCTAGTGTTATATTCCTCAACAAAACCCTGGGTCTGCTGCCACTTTGGGAGAAGGTCAGAAGAAGTTCTGCGTATCCTGTTTCAATGAATGTATTCTTTCTCTGTGGTTACGCAATAGGGAGATGGTGTGGGTAATAAAGATGAAGGATTTCAGAATAGGCTGACGTGAGGCCATCCAGTCTAGTCCACTCCCTGTCATGTGGTTCGCTCGCACAATATCATTTAAAGTATAACAATGTCTGGAGATTGAGATCAGGCAGGAGGAAATTTGAAATCCCCAAGTTTGAGTCTTATTTATTTTCCCACTGTTGTAAACAGTCATTGAAATTCATATGGACCATCCCTCGGGGTCTTTCTGGTGTCTGTAGCCAACCAACAGAGTAGCTCCTACCGTAATAGAGAGACTATTGTTACTCAACAGCTGACAGTTACATACCTAGATTCATTCATTCTCTGGGTTTCCATATCGCATATCGTCCCAATGAAGACAGACTTCTTAGCCTGCATTCCACAACGCTACGTCAATATCTTGTTTGTCAAGGCAAAAACAACTTGGCTTCAGGAGAAAGATTGTCAACCAGTATAGTTATGCCTAATTGGTTTAACAGGTTCTCTGATACTGATGTGACTTAATGTCTTAGTTTAGCCTACTAGATCAGGAATGTGCTTGTCACAGTTTTCAGGGTCCCTAACTGCATCTCACTAAGTTCATTTAGGCTACCAATAACTATATTTACACATGTAGACATATTACTTGCTGAACTGGACATTACCCAGAGTTCTAGGAAAACTTCAAAATGTCTGTGTCATCAGTATTCTTAGTGAAATTAGGAATCTGACAAGATATTCCCAGTCCACACAGTATTCATTTAGGTTAATTTACCAATGCTTGTGTTAACTCCAGTTGAAATATTACTTTTATAAATTGGACATTCACCAGATTTTGAGGAAAGGATATATATAATGTTCGTGCCCATCAGTGTTTCTAGTGAAGTGAAGAATCTGACAAGACCTTCCCAGCCCACACAGTACTCAGGGTTTCTCAAAGGATGCTGTTGTCCATTCACAGACAGTATTCAGGGTTTCTTAAAGGATGCTCGTCTGTTCACACATACTCAGGGTTTCATAAAGGATGCTCTTGTCCGTTCACAGACAGTACTCAGGGTTTCATAAAGGATGATCTTGTCCGTTCACAGACAGTACTCAGGGTTTCTTAAATGATGCTCTTGTCCGTTCACAGACAGTACTCAGGGTTTCTTAAAGGATGCTCTTGTCCATTCACAGCTGCAGACAAGACAGATGCCTGTCATACCCCGACAACACTTCACATTTACATATTTAGAAAATTAAACATACGTCAAAGTCCACTACAGAATCTTGTTGCCAGTTTTAACTTGAGTCATATTCAGGTTTCGAGACATGTCTGATTAGTAGCAGGGGAAAAAGCCTAGTCTCATACCCTCTTGATAAAGCTACTGAATTCCACACATTGATGTTGGAATAAGCTCTTTTGGCCAATTTTAAAGAATTAACTAGCTACAAATGAATGGAACAAAAAATGTTCGTAGTCATCCCGTGACCCATAAGTGGGTCCCAACTAACAGTTTAGTAACTACTAGGATACTGAATGCTGCATAACAATCCAGTTGATATAAGGGTCTGAATAGACAGCAGAGACATACAGTACCTACAGTGTTTGACACCCGGGTTACACAGCACATCCTGATATAGGATCTAAAGTCCTGTTTGAGTTTGAGACTGGACTCCTACAGACACTTCTGTTCTGTTGACTAATTAGCAGTCGCTTCAAAAGGAAAGGAAAGGATGTAGACTAGAGAGAGGAGTGGAGGAGGAAGGAAGGAGTGGAGGAGGAGGAGGAGGAGGAGGAGAGAGAGGAGTGGAGGAGAGAGAGGAGTGGAGGAGAAGGAGGAGTGGAGGAAAGGGAGGAGTGGAGGAGAGAGAGGAGTGGAGGAGGGTGGAGGGAGGGAGAGAGAGGAGGGGAAGGAGAGATGAGGAGGGGAGGAGAAGGGAGGATGGAGGAGAGGAGACGAGGAGGGGAGAGAGGGGGGGAAAGGGAGAGGAGAGATGAGGAGGTGGAGGAGGGGTGGAGGAGAGAGAGAGGAGTGGAGGAGAGAGGGTGGGGAGCGAGAGGGAGAGAGAGAGGAGTGGAGGAGAGAGGAGTGGAGGAGGAGAGAGGGGGGAGGAGAGAGAGTGGAGGAGGAGGAGGGAGAGAGGAGGCGTGGGGAGAGAGGAGTGAGGGGAGAGGAGTGGGGAGGAGAGGAGGGGAGGAGAGGGAGAGGAGTGGAGAAGAGGGAGAGGGTGGGGGAGGAGGAGAGGAGTGGAGCGGGAGAGGAGGAGGAGTGGGAGGCGGAGAGTGGGGGAGAGAGGGGGGGAGGAGAGGAGGAGGGGAGCGAGAGGGAGTGGGGAGGGAGGAGGGTGCGAGGAGCGAGTGAGGAGGGGTGGAGGGAGAGGGTGAGTGGAGGAGGAGGAGGGGGAGTGGGGAGGGAGGCGGGGAGAGGGGGGGGGGGTGGGGATGAGGAAAGGGAGGAGTGGAGGAGTGGAGAGGGGAGGAGTGGAGGGAGAGGAGAGAGGTGAGGAGGGGGGAGAGGGGAGTAGGAGGAGTGGAGGAGAGAGAGGAGGGAGGAGGAGAAGAGAGGAGTGGAGGAGAGAGAGGAGTGAAGGAGAAGGAGGGGTGGAGGAGAGGAGGAGAGAGGAGTGGAGGAGAGAGAGGGAGGGAGGAGGAGAGAGGAGTGGAGGAGAGACGCGGACAACCTCTGTCTGCCTGCCTGTCTGTCTGATGCCCGTCTGTCTGAGAGAGAAAACCATTGAAACACCTGTAATAACTCCCTACTACTAACCTACCGTATACCGTATAGACACTGAGTATACAAAACATTAGGAACACCTGCTCTTTCCATGACACTGACTGACCAGGTGAACGCTATGATCCCTTAGTGATGTCGCTTGTTAAATCCACTTCAATCAGTGTAGATGAAGGGGAGGAGACAGGTTAAAGAAGGATTTTTAATCCTTGAGACATGGATTGTGTGTACCATTCAGAGGGGGAATGGGCAAGACAAAATATTGAAGTGCCTTCAAATGGGGTATGGTAGTAGGTGCCAGGTGTAACAGTATTGCTTCTGTCCCTCTCCTCGCCCCTACCTGGGCTTGAACCAGGGACCCTCTGCACACATCGACAACAGTCACCCTCGAAGCACCGTTACCCGTCGCTCCACAAAAGCCGCGGCCCTTGCAGAGCAAGGGAAACAACTACTTCAAGGTCTCAGAGCAAGTGACGTCACCGATTGAAACGCTACTAGTGCGCACCGCTAACTAGCTAGCCATTTCACACCAGTTACACTGGCGCACCGGTTTGAGTGTGTAAAGAACTGCAACATTCGTCAGTTTCCCGTATGTATTAAGAATGGTCCACCACCCAAAGGACATCCAGCCAATTTGAGACAACTGTGGGAAGCATTGGAGTCAACATGGGCCAGCATCTCTGTGGAAAGCTTCCGACACCTTGTAGAGTCCATGCCCCAACAACTTGAAGCTGTTCTGAGGGCAAAAAGGAGGTGGAACTCAATATATTGCACCTCAATATTAGGAAGGTGTTCCTCAGTGTAGTGTTTGAGTGAACCAACAGTGCAGTCTGCTTTTATCTGCAATAGATTGACTTGGGGCTACAGTAGGTGTCTGGTAAAGGGTTGATTGACTTGGGGCTAGGTTTCTGGTAAAGGTCCAGATGATATGACAACAACATGGTGTGGAGGGCACATTGTTAGTGTTATGATCTGTTATGGTACCTCTCCTTCAGAGGACAGTCAGTGTGAATAGGTTCAATAGAGCCTAGGGTAAGTGAACTGCCAAACAACACCGTCTCAGTTGATTATCAGCCGTAGTGGACACTATTGTGTGCAAGGTGGATAAATATTGATGTAACCCTGCTTTAATGAACAGCAGGTAGATTTCCTCTAGGAAGCATGTTATTGAGTGAGTCTTCGTGTCCTAGGTCACATTAAAAATCACCTCTCCTCCAAACCACATGACTAGAGTACAGCCTGACAGTACAGCCAATGTACCAGTAAACAATGTATTCTAGTATGTATCCATGTGAAATGCACCAATACACACAGCTACATTCAACAACACTTTTTGATTGGCTAGTTTACCGTCCATATCGGAGTGTTACATAATATAAATTGTGAGGTTGTGTAAACAGGAAATAGCAGGTATTTATCAGTCCCCGCTCCACTTGTCATTATTCACATCATCTCTCACACACCCTTAAGGAATGCGGTCAGTGGGGATTTGGACCGGAAGGAAGAATATACTATTTTTAAACTCACTGACCAACTTGTCCCCTCTCAACACACTAGCCATCACGTTTACTTTTTGCTTTAGATGCTCTCCCAGAATCTATTAAGTTAAAACAAATATAGGGCAGTTTAAAGACACTTAGATTAGCCAGTCTCTGGATTGATCTGATCTGGGTGTGATAGCGGCCTACATTGTACTCGTACGTAGATCACAGCCATGGTTACTAAGTTAATAACAGGCTGGTGGAGGTGACCAGAAGCCCTAACAGACAGGTGGGAGGTCTTATGATGGTCTGGTACTGAGCAGGTCCCAGCATCAAGGCAGGGAATATGATTAGATAGACGGAGACTGGTCTTATCAGGCTTCACTGCTGATGCATTGATACACACACACACAGCTGGAAATCTCTGGTCTAGACAGCTCCATGCTGAACCCTAGTGGTGACTATTAAATATGCATGGCCAAAGTGGTATACTGTAGACTTTTACCCCTCAAAACATGATTGACCTTGAAATAATATTAAGATAATCTAAGAGAACAAAAGTCATAATTTCAGTAAAACAAAAGACAGGAGGCAGTTTTGTTTTGGTTGTTTTCTCCCGTTTGTATTGGAAGGAAATGCTTTCTCTCAATTTGACTAGAAAAACAAGTTGATTCCATTTGTCCATCACCAGAGCTCACAAGGCCAAACAGCTGAGTGTCAAATTAAGGGTTGAATTAAAAACTTTGTACAGTATTAGTCACCCAGCTTTAAAAAATAAAACTGTTAAAAAAACACCAAGAACAAAAAAACATTAAACACGTGTGTGTAGAGGGACCAACGATGGTTGGATAGAAAGAACCTTCCAGACAAACTTCAGACGAGTCCATTTGCCCTAAAAGGTCGACGTAACGGGTTTACATTCCTGTACAGAGTCCATCCCAAGTGTGCGTGTGTGAGTGAGTGTTCACCGGATCCTCTTCTGCTGGCGAGCGCGGTAGATGTCGTGAACGGGTGGCGCCACAGCGCCCTTGTCCTCCTCTTCATCAGAGTCTGCGTTGGGTCTCTTCAGTGACTTGGCCATGGCATGGTTCTCCATGGAGCCGTTCCCTTCTCCGCCGGCATCAGGCTGCCTGCCTGTTATCAACTCTACTGCTGCGTCTACAGCTGAGAGAGAGGGAGGGAGGGAGATATTAATATTGTGCTATTCAGGCAAAGGAACGTTTAAAAGAGGAGCTGGTGATTTCTGACAGTTTCAAAGTTACTTACTCTCTGGTAGTGTACATCTCCTGAAGCTCTCCATCAGTTCATCCACCTGCACAAAGGGCCCCTGCAGAAACACAACACCACAACATCAGTACAACACAACCACATGATATCACTAACAGTGAACGGTGGGGTGTTGGCACTGTGATATCACTAACAGTGAACGGTGGGGTGTTGGCACTGTGATATCACCAATAGTGAACGGTGGGGTGTTGGCACTGTGATATCACCAATAGTGAACGGTGGGGTGTTGGCACTGTGATATCACTAACAGTGAACGGTGGGGTGTTGGCACTGTGATATCACCAATAGTGAACGGTGGGGTGTTGGCACTGTGATATCACCAATAGTGAACGGTGGGGTGTTGGCACTGTGATATCACCAATAGTGAACGGTGGGGTGTTGGCACTGTGATATCACCAATAGTGAACGGTGGGGTGTTGGCACTGTGATCACAAAGTGAAGGTGGGGGTGGCACGTGATATCCCCAATAGTGAGGGGGGGGTGTTGCACTGTGATTCACCAAAGTGAAGGTGGGGTGTTGGCACGTGATATCACAATAGTGAGGGGGGGGGGCGGTCCCGGGGGGGGGGGGGCAGGATATCACCAATAGGAACGGTGGGGTGTTGGCACGGTGATATCCCCAAATAGTGAAAACGGTGGGGTTTGTTGGCACGGGAATCACCAAAGGAACGGTGGGGTGTTGGCACTGTGTATCCCAAAGTGAAGGGTGGGGTTTTGGCATGTGATATCACCAATAGTGAGTGGTGGGGTGTTGGCACTGTGATATCACCAATAGTGAATGGTGGGGTGTTGGCACTGTGATATCACCAATAGTGAATGGTGGGGTGTTGGCACTGTGATATCACCAATAGTGAATGGTGGGGTGTTGGCACTGTGATATCACCAATAGTGAGTGGTGGGGTGTTGGCACTGTGATATCACCAATAGTGAGTGGTGGGGTGTTGGCACTGTGATATCACCAATAGTGAGTGGTGGGGTGTTGGCACTGTGATATCACCAATAGTGAGTGGTGGGGTGTTGGTACCGACCACGAAGCAGGTGGGTGGAGGCAGTAGCTTCATCAGGATGACTGCGGCCGGGGGGACCGGGAACACCCCTCCTGGAACAGGGTGCAGTCCTGGAGCTGTGGGGAGAGACCAGAGTATGTGAGCGAAGCTGGAGTGGAGCGGACCGTGCCCAATTTGACTAGAGGCTGGAGCGTCGGCCTTCTCACCCGCTCCAATTTCGCTCCAGTTGCGCTCACGTCATGAGCTCAGGGCATGCCCGGCCCAGAATGCATTTGTAGGCTACTTGTGTGCTTCTATAGTCCCTTGCTATAGCTACTGTCATGGAGTTAGCTAAATATTTTCATTAAGAAACTGTTAAAACACAGAGGTGCAAAATCAAGGTGACATACAAAGATGTGAAGGACCAAGAGCAAGAGAGGGAGGGTGGTGATGTGGTGTCCACAAGAATCATTGTGGAATGTGAAAAGACACGTATCCTGAAAGCATGATATGTTCTACGTGCTAACAGAAAGCAACGAGGTGGGTAGCTAGCTAAGTGTGTCATTGTAGCAACAAAAAAACAGATCTCTTAAAAGTTTCATTACTTTTCGTTCTATACAACAGGCCATGGTTGATTTTGGCCCAATAGGCCTGGCATATTACCTCTTTCAAGGAGCTTTCCGTTTTGATTGGGTTATTTTACCTAAAAACCTTTAGGCATACCAATAGATAAACAAATAAAACTACTTGAAGGGTGGTTTAGCATCCCCAGTGGCTCTGCAAGCGTGGAGAGGGTATTCTCCGCTGCAGACCTGCTCTCCAGTCACCATCACATGATCCTGAAGCCACAGACTCTGGCCAAACTCCTGTTTCTAAAAATGAATTCAAAGGCCTAATGAGGCATTTTTAATTTCATTTTTATTTAATTATAAGTAAGTCAATTTATAGACTATAATAAATTAATTCAACGAAATGTTGTTTAAATGCTGAGCGCTTAATGTTCATGCCAGCCTAGTGTGTCGCACTCACAAATGTTCACAATGTATTTCTTTGTAGGCTATAGCCTTTAATCTTTTTATTTTATTTTTATAATAGGCAAATAATAATAACAATAACAACAATAACAATAATAATAGCCTAAATAATTCATTTTCGTTCCTTCTTAGGCTCTCTGTCTGGCTCCTGACCTGTTTACAGTGTTTACATCCTGTTTAATATGACATGTAGCCTATTTGAAATGATGAGTGCTTCTTACAGTCACCTTTTCCTGTTGTTTATTAAAATACTTTTCATTCAAATCATATGGTTTGGGTTCAATACTTCAAAATATACAGCAAATTTGTAATGGCAGTTTTTTTTCTTGTGAGCAAGGAGCGGTTTTTAGCAGAGCGGTTGGAAAGGACATGGATCCCGGCTCCGTAAGCGATGAGCAGGATCTCCAATCCGCTCACATACTCTGGGCAAGACACCTTATTGCACTACATCACTTAGGGCAGATTGAGGATTAGAGACACTACTAAGACCATTTGGTGGTATACTAGGAGCTGGTTGGAGGGTAGAGGGGGGAGGGGGTAAGGTACCTACAGGTCAGGTGTCATGGCTGGTAGGGGTAGAGGAGGGGGTAAGGTACCTACAGGTCAGGTGTCATGGCTGGTAGGGGTAGAGGAGGGGGAAAGGTACCTACAGGTCAGGTGTCATGGCTGGTAGGGGTAGAGGAGGGGGTAAGGTACCTACAGGTCAGGTGTCATGGCTGGTAGGGGTAGAGGAGGGGGTAAGGTACCTACAGGTCAGGTGTCATGGCTGGTAGGGGTAGAGGAGGGGGAAAGGTACCTACAGGTCAGGTGTCATGGCTGGTAGGGGTAGAGGAGGGGGAAAGGTACGTACGGGCCATGTGTCGTGGTTGGTAGGGGATCATCTGGTTGGTGTCAGGTTTGGGATACTCTGGTTTGCGGTCAGCCTCGTCCTTTTGCGAGGGAGCAGATGGGGTCACCACCGTCTCCGTCTGGAGCAACGCCGCCAGTTTGGCACGGGACACGTCCTACACACACAGGTTAACATCATAGAATTATAAACAGTTATCCTTTCCCCTCACGATTGAAGAGTTGAACAAGACAGAAACACACAAACGGTCCACTTGTTTTATAGACATTGATCGATTTCTATTGAAGTCTTCAACCCTTAACAGATGACGCGGCCATAGCAGTCAGCATCATCTTTCTGTAACTGTAGAAACTACCAGTTGTACAGACCTTGTATCCGAGGGCTTTGAGCTCGCTGGCGGAGCAGGGGTACAGGTCCATGAACTTGTATCTGTCCACCAGCAGGGCTGTCTCCTTGCCTTCGTACTCGTCCTTGAAGGCCGTGAAACGCCGGCGCTCCACCTTCAGGATACTGGCCAGGTCCCCGATGTTACTCTCAAAGGCCAAGAAACGCGCCCAGATCTCACTGAGGGAGAGGTGTTGATAAAAAACACAGGACCGTCAATAACACAATAACAGACACAGATCTGATGTGGGTGTTGTAGGAATGTAATTCCTCATACCCAGACTTCTCTGGCGACAGGCTTCCCGAGGTGAGAACACGCTCAAACAGAACTCTGGTGTTGTTGTCCTCTGGAGGGGGGGGGGGAAGAGAGAGAGAGGGGGGGAAGGAGAGAGAGAGGGGGGGAATGAGAGAGAGAGAGAGAGAGAGAGGGTGGGGAGAGAGGAGAGAATGAAGAGAGAGAGAGAGAGTGGTGGGGGGAGAGCTCGATTAAGATAAGCGGAGAGGGGGGGGAGAGAAGAGAGGGAGGGAAGAGAGAGAGGAAGAGAGAAGAGAGGAGGGAGGTAGAGCAAGAGTTTTTATTAGGAGCTGGAAAGACTGAGAGAGGGGAAGAGAGGGGGAGAGAGAGGGGGGGAAGAGAGAGAGAGAGAGAGAGAGAGAGAGAGAGAGAGAGGAGGCATTCAAACTCATTAATCTACCATTATGTTACAGATAATGCCTCAGCCTCCCTCTCCTAACTTACAGCACAACAACCCCATATCTATATACGTCAATGAAATAAACAAAAACACCAGCGTCTATAGACTGCCTCTGCCTGGGTTTTATCTAGTTTGACTATACCAGTAATTGCATCGTCTATGGATGGTTCTCTATTTACTTTTGATAGAGGATGTCACTGGGTTTATGTCATAGAGAGAATAGAATCAGCATGTTTAACAAAGACTGATAATGGATCCTCTGTAGCCTTCCAACACCATCGCTTAACAACTATACAATCTCAAGAACTGTTGCCATGGCAACTACCCATGGTTGTTTTATTGTTACACAAGAGGGTGAATGACAGTCTCAATAAATGAATCCATCACTTGTCACTTACCATTAAGGTGTGAGAGGTAATCGATGTATGCAAGTATATACTCTGGAATGTCTCCATATTTCTTCAAACCCAGCTCAAATATCTTAAAGGCCACTGATTTGTCCTGTGAGGGAAGGTAACGGAAGACCAGTCAAACACTGAGAAACAGAATTTTCCCCCTTATAGTCAAACGCTGAGAAACAGAATGTTCCCCCTTATATTCTCTCTCAATGTTCCACTCTTGGCACGTGTTTAAGTCTAAGGCCGCAGACACACCAACGCGGATGAAATCGTATATGCATTCATCAATTGTCTGTCAAAAGTTATTTTCAAGTCAACTGTTTTCGTTTGTCCATCATCCGTCAAAGGATGACTCCCTCCCATTGGAACAACCATTGGCTCAATACGGAATTTTCAGACCCAAAATGTGTGTGTGGCCGTAGCCTATGTACAGTCCACCTACCTTACTGCAGTAGTACTCCATCAGGGCTGCAGTCACGTAGACGTGGTGACGCGTGCGCATGTCCTCCCGGGCCTTCTTGAAGATGATGCGGCCCGACTTGATGCCCTCGGCCCGCCTGCCAAACTTCATGTACTGGATGTAGACCAGGGTGGGGTCGATGTCCTCGATGGCCAGCAGACGGTTGTAGATGCTGTGGACCTTTTCATGCTTCATTCGACTCTGACAAGAGGAGAGATGTGGGTTCGCTCATTCATCAATTAAATGCCTGTCAAACATTTCCTGGACCTCTATTCAACATTCATTTACTGGCTCACACTCCACTCCACCACTTAACTCAACAAGACAGTAGGATTGCTCCGGAATAATCAAATCAAATAATCTTAATAGGAATTAGACGAGACAAATGAATAAGTCTGCAGTAAGAGATACACTAATCACTTATGGATGACAGTCAATTATATCAATCTATCAATTTTTCTATAAAGCCCTTTTTACATCAACAGATGTCACAAAGTGCTATACAGAAACCCAGCCTAAAACCCCAAACAGCAAGCAATGCAGCTGTAGAAGCATTATACATTTCCTTGGCAACTTTGACATCTTCATATTACGACCTCATGTTTTGTTTTGGCAAGTGGTCCGTGACAGATGATTGGTGTTTGTGCAGCTCACCTCCTCATAGTCAGCGAATGAAAAGTACAGCAACATGTTCTTCTTCAGTAGAGTTCCGATGGCGCGCTCGTAGATGTTAGCTGCCTCGTCACTGAACACCTTAGAGTTGTTCATGTCCTGAGGAGAGGAAGAAAGAGTTCAAGGAGAAGTTTGGCATTTAAAAACCATATACCAGTAAGGTCTAAAATAACAAACGTGGAGGAAACCCAGTTCCCATTAGGATACATTGTGTCATCAGTGGCCTTGCTTACCCCCTTCTCTGCCAGTAGTTTACTGGACTGGTCCAGATACTGGGCAGCCTCATACCACACGTCAGGGTGATGACCCAGCACCAGCAGACACTGCTCATAGGCAAACATCACTGCAACACGGAGCACAATTACTAAGTTAGGGCTGCAATGCTAGCAAAACCTCGACGCAACACTGGATATGTATCAACTTTACTGTGCCTGTAATATCAGTGATGGCATGCTATATCAGGTTCACACACACAACACCCTCAGCTATAGGAATCACTGTGCCCCCCCCCCCCCACACACACACACACCTCTCTTAGTGATGAGTGTCTGGTCCTCCGTGCGTAGCGGGTTGCTCTTCTCCCATTGGATGTACTTCTTCCACATCTCTACCTGCACCGACTCTTGGGGGGAGTTCTGAGGGGGCACCGAGGGGGCGTTCCTATCCAGACCCTTCATCACAGTCTCATATTCCTGAAGAGACAACATCAGCTCACAATCGTCATGGTTTACCAGACAGTATGCATCAGTTTCCCTCCTCATAGTGTGTTTGTGAGTACCTTACCTTGGCCACTCTCCTAGCGTTCATGGTTTACCAGACAGTATGCATCAGTTCCTCCTCATAGTGTTGTGAGAAACCTACCTTGGCACACTCCTAGCGTTCATGGTTACCAGACAGTAACATCAGTTTCCCTGTCATAGTGTGTTGTGAGTACCTTACCTGGCCACTCATCCTAGCGTTCATGGTTTACCAGACAGTATGCATCAGTTCCTCCTCATAGTGTGTTTGTGAGTACCTTACCTTGGCCACTCTCCTAGCGTTCATGGTTTACCAGACAGTATGCATCAGTTTCCCTCCTCATAGTGTGTTTGTGAGTACCTTACCTTGGCCACTCTCTAGCGTCATGGTTTACCAGAAGGAGCACAGTTCCTCTCATAGTGTGTTTGTGAGTACCTTACTTGGCCACTCTCCTAGCGTTCATGGTTTACCAGACAGTATGCATCAGTTTCCCCTCATAGGTGTCTGTGAGTACCTTACCTTGGCCACTCTCTAGCGTTCATGGTTTACCAGACAGTATGCATCAGTTTCCCTCCTCATAGTGTGTTTGTGAGTACCTTACCTTGGCCACTCTCCTAGCGTTCATGGTTTACCAGACAGTATGCATCAGTTTCCCTCCTCATAGTGTGTTTGTGAGTACCTTACCTTGGCCACTCTCCTAGCGTTCATGTAGTCTCTGCTGCGGTCCTCAATCATCTTCTTGGCCAGATGTACGTTGATGCCCTGTTTGTACAATACCAGGCTTCTTAGTACCACTGACAGATGATATATATCAATGGCACATAAAAGCAATGTTCTGCTACCCCCCCATGGGGTTCATTATTCAGCCCTCCATAGGGGTCACAGGTCATTGGTCTTACCTCCTCATACTTGCTGTAGTCTCTCCAGAGCTGCTCGATGTTGATCATGGGGTTCACACAGCCCCTCTGGTAGACCCTGCGCACCGCTGTGATTCTCTGGTTCTCAGCGTACGAACCAACAGCCTCACTGGAAGGACACAAGGGTAGGGAATGAGGGACTTTTCCTTGAAGTACGTACTTTTTAATGGCAAAAAACTAAGTATTGTGTGAAGAGTAGTACTTACACTCCTTTGAGGAAGTTGATGTAGTCCACCCATATCTGAGGGGAGAGCAGAAGAATTAGAGGTCATGGCTTGGAACCCCATTTCAGCCTACCAGATTGCACATTTTTTACTAACTCGTTTTAGATCATTTAATTGCCAATATGCTTTGATTTACCTGGTAGGACATGATCTCCATGCCGATTTTATCCAGCGCAAAGTCATACGCCTGCGCCATCTTCTCTCTGGTGATGGCCAAGCAGGGCTGGGTTAGGACTTGTGTTACATCACAATATCAAGACATGCACTGGGAACATTTGTCAAAATAGGGTGTTGTGTTATCACTGTGAAATGCATTGCTGAATGGTTAAGATGGTGTGTGAGCACAACACGAAGAGCCCCTGGCCCTCACACTCTGTCCCCCTCCAATTCCTTTCCTGGGTAATAGGTGAACCTACTTGTAGCTGGGTAGCTTTCCTTTGGTCTCTCGGACGTAGGAGAGGTAGCATTTCCACAGGTCGATGTGCAGCACTTTCATCAGACATCTCTGAAACAACTACAGCAGGAGGGAAGGGACACGTTTCAAGTATTGAAAAACATATCAGTCTACTGAAAAGTAATGCTTCAGACAGAGAGTGCACTCAATCATTCACAACTGTCATACTGTTGGGCACTGAGAAATAGACATGCTAGGTGATTTGTAGTGTGTGTGTTTCTGTGTATAAAAGGGGAAGTAGTGGATTCCCTCTATGGAGGGCTGCCTAATGGATAGTGACCTAATGCCTACCCAGGCAGGAGAACCAGCAGAACACAGCTCACTGACAGACAGCAGCCACACTACCACGGCTGGAGATATAAACAGCAGTGTACACAAGGGCTTTGCAACACGCTGCTGCTGTTAAAGACAACCTACCCGTGGTGAAAACGAGAGAACTACTTTTCCCTTCAGTTTCAGGTGATGGATAACAGACAGCAACAACACAGTAAAAACATCTGCATCAGATGGAATAGTTTATGCTGCTAAGTGTTTAGTGTTGCCTGTGACTTAAACAAGTGGCAATAAACAATCATTTGCCACTCTTGTGAATTGTAGATTTTCTGTTGTACTGCTGTAAAGCATGCAGCTACATTTTATGGGTTTGGCTTGATCATTGATGTATTACAGTGGTGACTTAAATGGCTTTTTCAGTTGTTAAGGGCAACACTGGATGAGTCAGAACCATGTTGGTTTCCATCCAGTGACAGGGAGGTGGACCCTCCCTCAGAATCAACCAACCATGGCAGTCTCAGTCTCCTGTAAGGCCAATGGGAGGGGACTTTGGTATGATTTGCACTCACCTTTTCTACCTTGTCATAGTTTTTTGCCTTGATCTGTGGACAGAGTGTAAACGAAGTGTTAATTCAACAGGCAGGTGTTTCCATTGTATATATGGACAAACATGCATGCATGCAAACTCCCTCTTACACACACACACACAGTCCCTTTCAGATCAACAAAGTGAATTTCACACAAGAAAGACCATTTCAAGATCAATTTTGTAAGATAAGGGATTTATTCTCATTGTACATCATGGACCATACATGAGTCACATGATCAGCCAGTTGTAAGAAAAAATGAGTTTTGATGTCTAGACATATTGTTCCATGGGGTAAAGAAAAGGGCTGTGAAGGAATCTGTGAATACCCACCCTTCCCAATAAACTGTAGCCTTAGAAAAACAAGCTAAATAAAAACATTTTCATCAGCATATAAAAAGCTATCGTATATTAGCCCCTTCACTACACTGGAAAAGACCACACTCGTGCCAATCACTAAACACGTTACTGACTGTCAGCCTGGCCAGGCATCAAGGTGACTCATTGACTGACAGTGGCAGGAAAGAGGCTCCACACCGTCAGGCAGCTGATGTTTGGTGGGAGAGGGAGTCCTCAATCCGTTCTGTCCCTATTCCAAGCCCTGTGGAGTTCCAATCCTCCCTCTACACAGGCCTGCCAGCATAGACCAGTGTCAGCAAAGCAGAATGAGAAACACCAAGCTTTACTGGCGCTACCGGTTGGCCTGGCCCTGACAAAAGGCCTGTTTGTGTGTCAGGCCCAGGGCTCCCAATGCAGCAGCCTAGCTGCATGTACTGTACTGTAGGCCTTCTGTTGTTGCAACTGCAAGGCTAGTAGCTCCTAAAAATATGACGACAAAACACAGTAACAAGAAACATTCAGGTGTTTGAATGGGAGAATACAGTTGAACTTGGAATGAATCCTGCCCCGATAATTCTAAATCTGCTTCTTTCCTTCATCCATTCTAAGAGCAATACAGCGGAATGTCACTAAGTCCCACAGGTTGGCTTTCAGCTTATTGTTGTGAAAGCCACTTAAGACAATCACTGATTAGAGAGGCTATCAAATAATCTGTCAATGTTAAACATAGCCTAGGCCTAGCAGCATAAAGCTTGAACAGAAGTACTTTTTCAAGATTAAAAATACTCAGTGCAAGAAAATAACTAATTCAATATGTATACATCTAGAGGTGGGAGGTATCATTGCAAGATCACAATGAATAATTTCACATTTGTTCAAAGAGTCAGATCCTAAAGAGAGAACTAGGCCTATGGCGACTATAGCCAATGGCGACTATGGCATTGTAGTGATAAACATGAAAAACAACACTAGTTTTACACAGACACAACATGAAACAAAATTGTTTATTACCAATGATTTATTGAGGTAAATCAACTTGAGATAAAATCAACATAAAAATAGCACACAGAAAATGTAACCCCAGCCTTGACAGCTGCATGCTTAGAAAAGTACATCCCTGTGACAGTGACATAGCTTTAGGTAGGCTATATCTAAAAAAATCTCACCTCGAGGGCAGACACACACACACACACACACACACAATCTGTAGCCAGCATACATTGTCATTGCATGCATCTACAGCACCCCATGGCTTTAGCACTCACTACCAATAGTTTGAGCGTCTCACTCAAGGTTGTTATAGCAGCTACATGAGAACCAGACCTGAATACACTACAAGAGAGACAGTTGACTAAAGCACTTCTGTTCTATTTCGGTGCAGGCAAACCAGTCGGGTGGGGAATTAAATAAATTTCAATCCATCCAATTTTGTCTAAGATGATTATCTAAATCACATCAACCAAATAAAATACATTCTATTAGTAATATGGCCTTTTATCAGGATGTCACAACAATCTAGGCTACTTGAAAGACCCAGGCTTAAAAACCCAAGAGCAAGCCCATCAACACAGGAATACTTCCTTATGCACATTTGTAACATATCCATAAAAATAGCTTCCACAACATTAAACACTATTCCAGTTCTCCATGCTACCATAAGTTCGCTACCAAATAAGCATTCACTTTACAAGCACACCATCACTAGGCCTACTACCTAACACGCATTGAGCAGCCAACAAAAAAACTGAATTTACTATGAACTAGGAAGGTGATGGGCAATTTCTGTGGGATAATCAGAGGGCCATGCCTAATGCGTACTTTAAAATGGGATTAGTTATGGGGAAAGGAGGAGGTTGTTAACTGGACTGCAGTAACCATCAACACCATAAAGAAAAGATGCAATAAGTCACAGTACAGAATTCTGGTCATTTGTTTTATTAAACAGTATGCAATTTAAAATCACTTTTCAACAAACCGCAGGGTACAGTCAAATTGAGTACAACGCAAGTTATGCATTTCCTTATGCTTGTGCATGCACAGACCAACCGCTTGAGAGTTCCCCAAGGTGAGTGAAACTGTATTGAAACGAACACAAAAAGCACAACGTAAGTGTGAAATGTGCCACAAAAAGTCAAATCTGACCCAGAACCAAGACAATGGTCCCCCTAAGCTGCACCTGTATGTTAGTGTCTTGCAATGTGTGAATTCACACAAGTGAACGCCTGAATTCCCAATAGTGGATTGTTAGTGTATAACTCTTTCACAAGCACACGTTATTTTCTTGAAAGGTTAGTGGGAAAAGGTCAGATATTCAAACGTATGATTCGTTTTCTACACATTAGCAAAAAAGATGGGGGACTCAAAACTAATAAATTAGATCCAAACTAGAATGTTGATGTTACTGCAGCAAAGACCATACTATTTGACAGGTTGCTGTTAGAAGAACTAAACTCAAAACAACCAAAGCTTAACTAAATTAGTTTATATTTTTCCAGGTTACTCACTATGTTGAGGCAAATGAAACTGGGCTAAAAAAAGAATATGGCAACCTCGATTTGACTGCAGTCTAGATATAAATCAAAGGCTATCCAAACTGGAAGGGTAAAAAAAAAAGGATAGTTTTAATGCAAATGACCATCTTTAACTATGGTACATAGTTATAAACAAATGAAGTCAACAGGTGGTTGAACTTTTACAGAATGACCTACAGGCTGTGCTAAATGGTGTTGAATGAGGCCATTCTAACTAGGGCAGCAGTGTATAGAATGGGAGAGCTTCTAGACTCAAAAACAATGTGCCCAACTCCTCACGGATGTGCACGGTGCAAATACCCCACGGTCTAGTAGGATTGTATTCCAGTCACTATGCACCTACAAATAAGGTGACGGTCTGAACATTTGAGACTATTAGCCAATCTGGTATCAATCAACTCTTAGACAAGGGGTGTCCAATCCCAGTCTTGTAGGGCAGCAGTGTCTGCAGGCTTTTCCCCTCTAGTCCAGCACCACCACACCTGGGTCACATTCTGTAGCCACAATTAACAGGAGAAAATACTGTCCCCTTATTCAACACCATGGAATCAGCTGTATTTGCACTGGGCTGGAACAAAAGCCTGCATACTGCAGGACCAAGATGGGACACCCTGTACTAGTCAACTCCTGTAGATCTGAAAGGAAGCTGTGGGTGTAAAAAGGGAGCTACACAGAGCATCACCAGTTCACATCCTTCCACTCAATCCCTTCAGACCTACAAGTGAGGCTTGGGGTTGATTTTAAACTGGACACATGAGCTGCTCTCCTCCCCCAGACTTCCATTCACCTGCTGTAGACAGCCCAGGGCCCAGAGACTAGTTGGGATCAGAGCTGTGTGTAGCGGGCATCAATTAAGGCACAATAATAACAATGAGGCTTGGTCAGTCATGCTCTTAACTCACATACTTACCCACTTTATCCCCCTAAAATAAGTGGATTACAAGCATCCATGTGTATGTCTAAAACTAATGGAATACTAATTAAATGATTGAGCTTACGTATGGATGGGGGTTTAAGGCTCATCTAAGATGTAAGCACTATTGCTTGGTCAGGGTAGTAGGCAGGAATGGGAGCAGGTACCACCCACAGAAATAAAAGGTAAGGAAACCAATGTAAATTTGTAATTTGGGTGAACTATCCTTTTAAAGACATATTGGCGTAATGTGGATTCTTTGCTGGGTCAAAACCAGGGTGAACGTCAGCCTATATATAAACGGGGATCTACAATATTACATCTTTGGACGTCAACATAGATGGCCTGTTGGGGGTAGGGGGGCACACCTGTGCTGGGTAAAGTGTTAAGTTGGACACAACATTCACTCATACGGTTTATGATCAAAAACAAAAATGACCTCAAAGAAATGACACAGGAGGCAATAAATAGACACGACAAGTGAATAAAAGGCTAAAGCACTCCAATACCATTAAAAAGTTTTAATGCTGTTGCAGATCAAACATGCAACAAATGCACCTAACCCCATTTAAAGACGTAGAAAATAGATGTTCTTTAACCGAGGAACATACAGTCTGCTTCCTGAAAAATAAATGGTTAAGATTGTAACCTAAACCCCTCGTACTTTAAAAAAAAAAATACAATTTAGATGAAGTGGACCTATTTGTTGTGTGAAAGTCACATTGTTGATCCTGTTAGGATATGCACACCCATGCAGTTGTGAGAAATTGATAAAATATTAACCTCCGCTTCAATGAATAGTTTCCAGAATCTGCCCGAGCTTGGGAACTGGGCAACAAGTCGTTCATAGGTCTTCCTTGCTTTGTCTATAGGCTGGTTCTAAAAGGGTAGAATGCATTCACATGTACACTTGTTGACAAACAAGTTGAAACAGTCCTATATGACACATCTGTAATTGTTCTGTTAGATCCCCACCCACCACCCTGTTGATCCCCACCCTCTCCCTCCCTTGACCCGATCGATTACCCCAGGTAAGAGGAAGCAACCCTGAGTCACTAAACCTGTGCTTCTCGAATCAGAATGCTCCATGCGTCAAGGTCATATGGGTTTTCTTCCAACTTCTTCTCTGCTTTCTTAACCTTCTCCGGGATATACTCAGCTGCCTGCAAGACGTAAAAAGATGATTGGGGTTACAGACATGCATACACTGCAACAATAGGTGGCTTGGGAAAATCAGTCAGTGTGCCAATATTATAGACAATTTTAAGAGTACATTTTAGAAGAGCTCGTTTATAATAGACCTACTACACTTGTTCCTTAACAGTTTGGACTTTCTTTAGCCACATAAAAAAGCGAGTAGAACAAAGGCAAACACGAGGCAGTGCTTGCTTGTTTACGTGGTTAGCTAGCTAGCTACTAAGGTAGGTAGCTAATCATGTAAACATGTTACACAACTTCTGACATAGCTAGCTTATTGAGTGAACGGTGCGCTCAACTGTTGAAATGCAATACAATGTGCACGCATTGCATACGCTTTAACTAGTTAGCTAACTAGTGCAACAAAAAAGCGCGGCCCAACTTCAACAGTAATTTTACCTAGGTAGCTAACGTTAGCTTGCAAGCTAACTAACTAGCGTGTTTATTCTCAACAGGCCAAACGCTAACTAGCACACGATAACTAGTCGTGTTAGCATGAAGTTCTTTCACACGCAGACCATATCAGGTTGTGTTACCTATACTATACAAGTTAGTTGACGTTAGTTAGCCGTTTGCCATTAATTTACGACCAAAATCATTGGCAGGTTACCTAGCTAGTACGTAATTAGCTTAGCCGCAGATATCTCTCAAAATGGAAATGTAATTGAGTAGTTAACTATTTCCACTAAAATATTGTCAAGAATGTATGGTAACTATGTAGAAAGCGCTCCCAATCTACATTAAACGGTATCTAGAGTGTAGGCCTAGCTAGGTAGTGAACCATCATGCAACACGGGTGAAAATGTAGCTAACTAGCAACCGTTCGCTACAAACAACTGAAATGATCTACCTGGTCGGCGGTTGCTTCCGTGGACATGACTGGTTACGTTTAGTGTACCTATATTACAAATTGCAATAGCAACAGTATTTAAACATACAAATATTTAATTAAAAACAGCTATATCGCATGATGCACGATGACTCCAGTAGCTATGCACACAGTCTGCCCGCTGCTGTGACTGGACGTTTTCTCAAAATGGCGTATGTGAACGCTCACTTCCTTATGTTCTGGAGGAAGTCACCTCTACAGACAAAAAAAAAATCACATTTGAGATTGCTTTGTACAGCATTTGAATGTTTTATATATCTATGTGTATGGATGAGACCAATATTTAGAACAAAATGTTTAATTGCATGTGCATAAAAAAGCCATTGAATTAACACATTTTAATCACTAATGTAATATCTTTGATAGGATGTCTGGGTCATTGAATTAACACATTTGAATCACTAATGGTATGAATCTCTTTGATAGCTATGACAAAGTCAGTACAGTATTAAGATAGGCTAAAACTGCTTCTCCAATAGAAATCCCCGATCACACTTGTCATGTCATGGCGACGTTGAATAGCAAAGACGTCCATTCAAAGGCACTCCTTCGATATAAAGTTGTTTTTGACGAAAATTAAAACGTGTCAGTTTGTCACTTTCACAAGTTGAGTAATAACATGTTCAACCACTTAAGACATTGGTTCGATTCTAGATTGTACCTTTAGATTTCGAGAAAATGAACAACTAAGGAATACTTTTTCACTTTTCTAATTGGTCTGTTTCGCAAGCGTTCCCGGAAGTCTCGCGATGCGCCTCTGGGTTTAGAAACTGTGGCCATGACGTCTGGATCCGAAAATTGTCTACATAGCTAGTTGTTGTAATATATTTTTCAGACAGCAGAGGGGGACAGAATGCAAATCAACACTGTGACTACATAAACAGACCATATCAATCGAGCCCAGAGCTCATCATCATACGTACACATTCTGCTAGAATAGTAATAGAAAAACATTATTTGCACTTACTGCAGGCATTGCAATGCTCACTTTAGGAATGATTACCGAGAGCAAGTCCATAGGGTGACTACAGGGTGTGAGACGACTGACTTCTACCTCACGTGTAATGGCCATGTCAACTGCAAATTAGTACTATCCACACAATAGATCTAGATCAAACAGCTAGTCAGGCCATTAAGGACTTCCCACTCAATCCAGGTCTCTGCCGATTGACTTCTTCTTTATGATTGAACATTTATTTGCTTTTGATATTTTTTCTTTATTTAACTTGGCAAGTCAGTTAAGAACAAATTCTTATTTACAATGACGACCTACACCGGCCAAACCCGGACGACGCTAGGCCAATTGTGCGCCGCTCTATGGGACTCCTAATCACGGCCGGTTGTGATACAGCCTGGAATCGAACCAGGGGGTCTGTAGTGGCGCCTCAAGCACTGAGATGCAATGTCTTAGACCGCTGCGCCACACAGTTGTTGGCAAGGTTGGGGAGTGACTGATTACGTAATCAGTTACATTTAAACCTATTACAAAAAACTGTAACTAATCAATTAGGTCACCAGCAAACATATTGTAATCAGAACAGATACTTTTGAAAAACTAGATGATTACTTGTTGGATTAATTTTAAATTCAGAAAGGATGTTTGCGGGAAAAAAATACATTTACAACACCTTTCTGTTTTCTCAATGACATTTAATTCAGCATTGAAAATAGGCACACATTTAAGTTTGTTCAACTTCAGTGAGTCTGACCACAAGTCAGGGACCAAAATGATGGCACACCAAATGCGTTTGATGGATCCTCTTAAGGGGAAAGTAATCCAAAAGTAACTGAATGTAATCAGATTACGGTACTACGTTTTTGGGTAATCCAAAAGTTACGTTACTGATCATCATTTTGGACAGGTAACTAGTAACTGTAACGGATTAGTAACCAACCCAACCCTGTATGTAGGCTATATCATTAATTGAATTGAGTGCTATTTATTGGCCCCTAGGCTTGTTAGTGTGGTGCTACAGTGACCATAATATGGCCGAATTCCCTGCAAAGACTGGGAGCTAAAGCAGCTGAACAGACATATGCAAGGCTTACAGGGCAGCGAGAGCGGAACCCTATAACCCTCCTCACACCTGTTGCCTTCACCAGCTGAGGCCACTAGTCGAGCCAAGCCAGGCCTGGGGTTTGATTTGGTTTGTCCCCAAGGATGGGGCTGGAGGCAGGGACAGGAGCTGTCGCTGCCAGAGATGGGGGCTGGGGCTGACAGTTGCCTGTTGTCGGATTAGGTTACGGTTGAACCCCAGTTGGCCACCTCAGACAGTGAGGACTCTCGTTGTCAGGCTGGTGCCTCCAGGCTGTTTGTGGATGTGCTGTGTATTTGCTTGTCGCTCTCAGGAAGAAAAATATATCTGCAAGATTCCACATCGTCTTCAGATCATTTCAAATGGCTGCTTTGGGTGGGCTTCTGCATTCAGACTGCGTGTGTGACATGAATGTTCTGAATTTCTGAAGAAACTGAACAATAAACTTTTAGGGATAGGATTGTGCTTTGTCTAAGTTTTGGCTCCGGGGTGAATGTATTTACTTAGTCTTGGGTTATTGTACACCACTGAATCTTCTATTTTTATAGATCTCTTTTTGTCTATAACATGTCAGTCATTAACCCAAACAGCAGAGACACAGTTAGTAAGGATGAGCTGTAAGTCTAATCAGACAGATGGGTTGTCCATTCAGCCTTAAGTTCAATCTCCTTACCTCCAGACAGTGGCTCGTCATACTATGATTCAGGGTCTTTCAGCTCCAATACACCATACTATGATTCAGTGGCTTTCAGCTCCAATACACCATACTATGATTCAGGGTCTTTCAGCTCCAATACACCATACTATGATTCAGGGACTTTCAGCTCCAATACACCATACTATGATTCAGGGGCTTTCAGCTCCAATACACCATACTATGATTCAGGGGCTTTCAGCTCCAATCCAAGAGGGACTCGATGCTGGATCCTATTGTCCTCTCATCAGCATTTCATGTGGAATGAAGTGCCAGGTGAAATGGCAATCAAGCACATCATGAATTAGTTAGTTATGTTGATCTAGGCCTATAAAGTGTTGAGTAGAGTGAACCAGCATACATTGTGGCCCGTGAGTGAGAACAGGACTTGAAGGCCGCCTATAGAACGGTCATTGCTGTTTAGAAATGAATGAGCCATTAGCTGTTGTTGATGATCAATTCTCCCCTACAGGACAACCCCCTTTGCCGGCAGTGCCTGACACATGGATGATCGGACAAAAACTCAACCAAATCAGACTTAGCCAGGCTATACTCAGAGCTTTTATTTCACGTGCCAGACCAGATGAGGCAAGAAGCTGGTTGTGTCACTATCCAAATATATTTCCAAATAGGCTGTGACAACTATGAAGCCATTTGGCCAACCATGTGTGACCAGCTGGCAGTAGACTAATCTTTGCCACCTCCAGTCAGGTCATTGTGGGATCAGGTGATGGCGAACTTTTAAAAGTCTGTTAACCCATTCAACACTAAGTCCATAGAACACTTATTTTGTCCAATATCAATCAGTGCAACAATTATGTCAGCTGGAATGCATGATCAAAATAGAGATTTGTTAAAGGGAATTGTTATTTCATGTTGCCTCACTTTAGTTTGGTGTGGGGAATCTGCAGAATCTTGGACAGTTTTTTGTGAATGGCTTTTTCTGCTTTATGCAGTTCCTTATAGCTGGACAGAGCAACATGCCTGAGACAAACAGGAACAGTTGCTATGACAATCACATTGTCCATGTGCCCATATTGTGTTATTGTAAGGCAGCATGTCAGATGTTTGTAGATTTATATCTCACTGCCTTTTGTTGGTGTATCTGCGGTGGTTTATGAGGAGATAATTTGAGTTGTTGTCAATGACATCATGCAGAAAGAGTGGGCTTCAAGCTATATTTTGTTTTGCTCCCTGTGACCATTTCCAAAACAAGCCCAATTGCAAGCCAACATGTTTCTTTAGGAGAAAATACAATTTTAGAGTATTTCCAACCCCTGAAACCATTCTTTCCCTGCAGTGTCTCGTGTGCTGCGGAGATGGTCACTGTGGTAATGGCAGCCATTGATATTTGTCAGCGTAACTCATTTTAACAGTTTCCATTACGTACACTGAATTCCAAATAAGGAACCATCGACAACAACACATCACATGTTCTATAGAAGGACCTTTTGAGAAAGAAGAAGGCCGTTTCCTTGGTAACTTGCATATCAATGATCCCTCCTCCAATGAATACCTTGGAAGAAGATACAGTTGGTGAACATTAACAATTTGTGGATTATTGTACAGTACGACCAGAAGAAGATAACCGCACATTACACAACAACTTCAACTTCAGTTATTGCTTTACCGGTGAAGTTTTATAAAAAATAAGTGTGAACATTTTGTTGGAATTTAGAAATACAAAAAAGTATGAATATCTCTATAACATGTCACAGTTGTAAACCTTGAACTAAATCAGCCATACATTCACAACTGTTCTGAACAAACATGAGAATGGAATTTGAGAACAAGTGACTAATAGTCCCATTGGAATAGAAATAGATTAGAAATATTATGAAACACCTTCAGACAAGCTTTGGAAATATTTTTCTTCAGTATGTATAATATTTGAATACGTATCAGTATGGACAATTTTGAATTTAATGACATTTCTGTATTACTTGTCTTGAAGCATATTACTTTAAACAATCTTTAAACAATCTAAGAATCTAATGTTATTTTAGAAGAAAATATTTTTGCCTTGACCGCTGCATCTCCACACCCTACCCTTGAGTGCCCATTATAAAAATGTTGACAGCTGCCACATTGTGAACGCGCTTTTCATTGGGCGCGCGCAGCTCGACTATTGATTCGTCTAGTCTAGCTCCAGGCCATCAACTCACATACATTTCTCACACAGCCTAGGCTAGACAGAGCAGAGGGACATGTTGGAGACAGACGTAACGGGAGGATCGTTCGGGATATAGGGCTAACAGACGCCCTTTCAGAGATGGGCTTTCTCGCCCAAAGAGGCAGGAGAATAACTTGAACTGCATTGTTACATCCTGGGCTAAATTGGTGTCATTGAACGTTTATATGCTCAAGTTTTTTGAAGTTTAAAATGTGGGAGATGGTGGTGTTGTCGA